CTTGATCATATGTACTATGGCATAGTAAGTATTATAGTCACATATGTTGTGACACTACCATGATGTTCTTATATGCCTTTAGAATTTCACCATTTAATTTAGACTAATTAATCCAAGCAATTCAAACTCGAAATTTGGTCACACACAATATTTATGTAATACGCACTTTGGCCATGTACTCCATTACCTATCCTTTGGGAATTTTAAAATATTACTTAAATCATTTAAATCAAAATTAATAAATGATAATTTAATTAATTTTGACAATATAAGGGTTCTCATAACCAATGACAAGTCAATTGCTAACAAAAAAAGTGTTGGAGAGCCTTAGAGCGACCAAGAGGCAAACCCAAGCGACGTAAGCGTCGTTCTTGTTTTGGTGGGGTGGCTAGCGAAAAAATGCCTGAACGACCTTAGGGTCGTTCCTGATATCTCTTGTGGTCGTTTAGTGTCTTTCCTAGTTGTTCCACATAATAAAAAAGGTGTCAAAATGTAGAAAGGTGTCATATTAATCATTAACTATGGATCTGCATTATTAGCATAGAGTTGAACAACGTAACACTTTCTAACGTCTAATATGTTTTGGTCATTAAGGTACTCTTGTGCTTTTTTATTGCACTTTCCAGCCAAGAGCATCTCTAATGTCTTTAAGTAGACTCCACAATCACTCATGTAAAACAAATTTACACATAAGCTTAGTGGTAAACAAAGGACCATTTTTTATTAAAAAAACTAAAATGTAAATGCAACTTACATATTTTTGTTAATAGAGATTGTATTTTCTACTGGTTGCGCTAAGATCATCGAACACTTGAATTTCTCCTCATAGTTAAGAATTTCTCTGATTTCTTGAGCAAAAAGGGAAAATACTCAAGAAATGGTTTCATAGAATCATTCAAATGCGAGAGTGAAAGACAAGTAGGAACCGAGTCATAAACTGTTACGATCCATGTTGAAACATCAACAAGTAATATCCAATGGCGGTTGAAACAGTTACATGACACATAGAAATGACTAACTCCCACCCAATCTCTTCCCCTACTTGGCCTAGCCCCTTTGTAATAGTCTTTCATCTCGTTAGTAATGTTAAAGTCTTTCTCCTCGTCAGTAATGTTAAAGTCTTTATCCTTTGAATTGACAGTATACTCGTATAATGCACACAATGTCTGGGAAAAACAATCGCTGAGAATGTAGATATAGGCAAAATGTTAGGAAACTTATCAATCCATTTTCTGAACAAATACAAAATCTCATCCACATGCTGCAAAAATACAAATTAATTCAATTGATAACTAAATGAACAAATATAATTAATAATTTAAAAAGAAGAAACATATTTGATTATTAAAATAGAAGAGTAACTTACCTCGCTATTTAAGGAAGCACCATTGCGCAACATAATCTCAAAAAAGTGTCGATTTTGCATAGTAAGGTTACATCAAATTGTGGACCTGCTTTTGGTATCACTATCAAACCATTTCCAAAAAGCTTGTTTGTCATTTTTGTAAGGCTTCCTGAAGGATTAAAAATAGGTCATTTTGACCTCGTGAATCGAACCCTCTTTGGCCACTCTAGATAAGGTGATAGCAAGGCTTGAGACCGCTGCCTGAAGGGTTCAAAAGTAGGTCATTTTGACCTCATGAATTGAACCCTCTTTGCCCACTCTAGATAAGGTGATAGCAAGGCCTAAGATCGCTTTTTCCGCCTCAATTGTCGACCATGATTTTAAAACTTATCATCCTTTTCCACATAGCTCACTCATTTATGAATAGGTGTAGGTGGAGTCACATAAGAACAATCTTCTCCTAGTGTGGCCTGTTGGTTGGCGACATCACCACTATTATCTCTGATTTGTTTGCCTTGTAAGGGTTGATGTTCACAATAGGCGCCACTACTACCACCATTATCACCATCTCTAATGTCTTCACATCATAAGGATGGGGATCAAGGATGTTAAATAAAGTATCCATTCTAGCCATAACTAGACCGATCTTTGCCATAATCGCCTCATTTTCACTGGTAATAGCTAACCGAACGTTGGCTATTATTGACTCCTCATAGTTTGCATGCAATAATCGTATCCTCTCCTCATGGCTTGCATGCAATGATCGTATCCTCTCATCATGGTTTGTATGCAATGATTTTATCCTATCCTCATGTTCACTCAAACGATGATCAAGAAGATGAAACATCTCTAAGGTCGGACCATGCATCTGGGTGGTGACATAGGATGGCTGGGGGTGATCTAGAGGGTGTAAGTGGTCCTGAGAGCCTATAGGGGTTGATGTTACAAAGGTTAGGCCATGCGTCTGGGGGGCAACATGAGATGTAAAGGCTGTAGAAGTCATGCCATGGATCGGGTTGGAGGGGGTGATCTTGAGGGTGTAAGGGGAAAAGGAGAGGGAGCAATGGAATATGCTTACCTTGATCTTCAAATTTGGCCAGGCTTTTTCCCAACTCGGGCATAGCCTCGAAAGCCCATGCCTAAAATGAAAAATATAACGAAATTACTAAAACAACCTAGTAAATTATATTTAACTAAAAAAAAAGATAAGCCTAGAGTGAAAACCATACCTGAAATATCCATGGGCATCCAAAAAGGTTATATTGTTCAGCCCCATTCTTCTTCCCTTGACACGTATGCTCCCACCTTTTTGCAAAGTTTATCCGCTTCAGGCTTGTGAGTGTCAAATTATAACATTCGATTCCCCAGGGATATTGATCGAAGAATTTGAGGTCAATGACATATTTAAACAAAGATGAATTAATCCGCTTCTTCAAGTCTCCAGGCATCAAGAATCCGGCTAACATGTAGACAAATGCCAATGGCACTCTATCCTTTTTTATGTCTTTTCCTTTGCTCAACTTTTCAAGTTTCTTAGAAACATCATATAAGATAACACCTTTTGCACCAGGCCAATACTTATTCATTAGTGTTGCTTTGTTCTTATGAGATTCGATTTCTTCTCTAGATGGACCACTACTTGTATACAAGCCGGATACTAAGGCAAACTCATTGAGAGAGAACCTTAATGGTTTGCCTTCTACTAAAAACCAAACCTCATGGTCTTTCTGGCTCCACTTGCCTCAACAGTAAATGATGCATTAATGTTGCTGAAAATTGCCCATCAATAGGCAAGTCTAATAAGCGGCCAAGTTGAGGGAACCTCCGAAACTTAGCTTGTTCTTTCTTTGTTAGCCAATTTCAAATATTGTTTATGACATTCAGTTGTGACCGAATCGTGATTTTACCCAGAAAGTCTTCCATGGTCACTATACATGGAGGTAGTTTAGGCAGCTCTGACATGTAAATTGGTATCGGTATCTATATTAATAGAAACAAACAATTGGTGGGAGATTATAAATATCAATCAAATCAATGAATTTTAGTTACTATGTTGTGTAATGTCGCACGACCGTCATTCAGATAGAACGACCATTGTGTTTAGCGCACGACCAGAGCTTAATGTGGGTTGCGCGCCTAGTGAGAAAGGAACAAGACAACCTTGAATGACCATCTGATATTGATTGGTCATCCGGGGTCGCTCAGACAACATCGTTAGAGAAGAAGCATCTTCGATTATCTCCACTTGATATGAGATTTCATCTTCGTGATCTGGTTGGTACAAGTCACCTAAAAACTGTTCAGACACCAACTGGTTTAGTTGTTCAAGTCTCAAAAGACTGAATTTCTTGGAGGGCACTTCTAGTTAGATTTATCTAATCATAAATGTACTCATTCTCTCATTTGTCTAGCTTATTGTTATCACCCTTTAATACTCTACCTAAATTTTCTCTCATAAATCCCGTGGCAGATTTTCTGAAAGCTGGCTAAGGAAGAGAAAACAGAGATTTCATTCAACTTGACATAAGAGAATACAAGATGACGTGAGTGTCATATGTTCTTGATTTTGTATTATATATCTATTTATTAAATAACTTCTCAAGTTTTTCAGTATAAATTATGATATTTATTATGTTACCAACCAAAAGAAGAAAAGGAAAGCAAAGAAATACGACATGAATGGATTTACATTCACTAAGTGGATAATTCTTGTACACATAGACTAAGAACTTCTGACTGGATAACATCAAGTATTACAACATGTATCAATAAGAAACAAGTCTGTGCCAAAATTTTCTACTAGTGACTTGGATAATTGAGGATATAATTAGCATATGACTCAATTATATACTGATACTGTAAATATGTAGTACTAATCTTCTGTAACTTTCATCTACAATATAGTAGTACATTCTTCACTGAGATATTAACAGCTTTCATCTAAATGCAAAATAAGAATACTGACATATTCTCAAATGCTTTACATATTGCACCACAAAATTTCTAATGTCTTGCATATTGCACCACAAAATATAAGGGTTCACTTTAAAAAAAAAAAACCTTACTTGTTCTTGGGCTTGAGGTGATGGCAGTGATGAAGTCCAAGGTGGAGGCTGTGGGGAAGACAGCGATGGCTGCAATGAATGGGCCGATAAAGGCGACGACAAATGTGGGGGTGAGGTTGTGCAAAAAGCTCTTTCCTCCGGCATGGTTGTGTTTTCTTCTTCGGCAGCCATGAAGGGAAAGCAGGGGTTGCCGCGCAAGCCAAACTCCGCACTAACATTGTAGGGGAAAAAGAGATTTCGGAGATTCTAAAAGGAGGGAGAGAGGAAGATGAGAATTTTGGGTCGGTCTCTTACCTGCTTGGTCGTTCATTCCTTTTAGGGGCTTTTTTTTTTTTTTTTTTTTAGCGAGTTCGTGAGGGGAAATTGGAAGAAGAAAGGCCTCCTCTGTTTTCCTTTTTTCAATTAAATTTTAATCTTGATTTTCGTTAATAGTACTCAATTAATAGATAAATACCCATTAATTATATTATTAAGAGTTTATTGAAATAAAATAAATAAATATGAAATTGGAAAGTAATTTCACCTTTTTACTGGGTTATTTTAGCCAATTCTCCGAAATTTTCAGACATCCATCTAGAAAGATAGCTTGTGAAAGGAGTAGAGCACTTTGGAATTGAGAAACTTCCTGTTCTCTACGGAAACAGAAAGAGAAAGGAAAGACAAATTCTGATCAGAGAAAAATATGGGATTGGATTCGTTGGGTGATCTAGAGTATCACATAATCCTAAACAAATTAGGAGCCGAAGATGCTGCGAGAGCCTCTTGCGTCAACAAGAAACTCCGTTCATCAGCCTCCGATGACTCTCTCTGGTCCCACATCTGCTCTCAAGAGCTCAATCTCTCTCAACCCCTCGATCCTCTCGGCAATCCCGTCGCTTCTTTCAAGGTATTCCTTATCTACTAACAAAACCCTTTTTTTTTTTTTTTTTTTTTTTTTTTTTTTTTATTCTTATTCTTCTTTCTAGTATTATTTTGACATATTTTAGGCTTAATTACATGGAAAAAATCCGAAATTTGTCGATTCTTGTTGATGGGAAAGCTGGAAATTTGATTTTTACTTCTGGGTCTTTGAGTCTTTGGCACGGTACACGTAAAAGTTGATTTGAATTTTTGCTTTACTCGTTAACACCAATTGTGGGGAGTCAAAAAAGTCAAGATGCTTTGCATTCTTATTTATTGAGCTAATTTCCTTCACGACTTTTCCTCAACTTGCAAAAGAAATGGGCTTTTGACGGTGGTTTTTAAGGCAAGATTTGAGTGATTATCAGTGTTATTTTGTGTCATCACTTCTGTCAAGTTCACAGTTTTCATCAGAAGCCAGGTTACGCTTATGAGAAAATACTATGATTTCAGGGACTAGATAGATGAAAATGACAATAATTCATGTAGCCATTTCCAAATTGGCTTGGTTAGAGGATGATTTTTCGTTTACTCATTTTGATATTAGTGGAAGGTCATCTCTTGACTTCTTTATCTGTTTCTGTCCTCTTTCACTTCTCCTTCGCAGGAATGTTATCAATCATGGCGCGAATCGTTCAGTATGTATCCCTGGTCACTTGTACAGCGAGTAAAAAGGTGTTGGGGAAGACTTAGAAACTGGTTGGCACTAAATTTTCCAGAGGCTGAGGCTACACTTAAAAAGGGTGCATCGGAGGCAAATATTGAAGAATTGGAGACCATCTTGAAGGTCAAATTGCCACTCCCTACGAGGGTCCTCTATCGATTTTATGATGGTCAGCAATTTAAGGACGAACATTTTGCAAAGAGTCTTTATGGCAGTCCGTTGGGCCTCATAGGTGGTTATGCTTTCTATAACCGCTGTGTAAATGTGTATTTGTTGCCTTTAAGTGAAGTAATCTCGCGAACGGAGGAGATGAGACGTCATCCAGGTTTATCCAGCAGATCGAAGTATATTGTTGTGGCTACTTCGTCTACATTGATTAACAAGTCGTTTTTGCTAAACTGTAACAGTGGTAGACTGTATGTTGGTACCAAGCATCTTTCAACCACTGGAGAAATGCTTCCATGTGTACCAAATGAATTGATAAGGTCAGTGCACAGTCTTAATGGTGACCAGCAGCAGGATGCAATGTTGCTGTGGTTAGAAGAACATGCCCGTCGCTTGGAAAATGGCATTATCAAACTTCGCGAAGAAAAAAAAATTCGTACTATCAGTTTGTTTCCAGAGGAACCTCCCTTGTGTACGACTGCTATAACCTCTGGCGTAAAAGTAAGTAGCTGCACAACAATGATGTGTGTACATATATAATATTCTTTTTGCTCCTCTATATTTAACACGGTAAGGAACACAAATTTTGCAGGGGGATCATTAGAATGTAAATTCAATTTTTGGTTTACACCGGCCAGTGTAGTGGGGATTACCTGCCTATTAGTGTCTCAAACATGACGCCTGGTTTTCAGAAACCATGTTTCAGTCATGTTCTTCTTTGAGAGGTGTTTATGTCGGCATTTTATTCTTCCAAGGGCTAGAATCAAAACCTCCTTGTAATCCTGTTTGTTAGAAATGATTTTTGGACATACCAATGTACGCAATTTGACAATTCTCTGGATTCGTTTTTCTGGTGATGGATAAGGGTTTGTTACATCGTTTTGTTTTAACTTATACTCTCTGTCTGTTGTAGACCTGTTATTAATTGTACAAAGTCTTCTTCACCATGATGATTTTACAGCAATTAATCATCATCCCCAACAAGGGCAAAAACTTAGGTTAATAGGATAGCAATGACAATTTATTGTTCTGGAGTTCTTCCTCTCTCTCTCTCTCTTTCTCTCTATTTCTATTTTTTGCGTCTTCCAATTGAATAAGTGAAAAAAGAATTGGGAATTCTCCTCCTCCTCCTCCTCCTCCTCCTTCTTCTTCTCCTTCTCCTTCTTCTTCTTCTTCTTCTTCTCCTTCTTCTTCTTCTTCTTCTCCTTCTTCTTCTTCTTCTTCTCCTTCTTCTCTCTCTCTCTCTCTCTCTCTCTCTCTCTCTATTTCTATTTTTCAAGTCTTCCAATTGCCAAAGAATTTGTTTGGCAATTGGACGATTTTGTTCAAGGAATAAGTGAAAAAAGAATTGGGAATTGCGGTGCAACTCCATGAACATGTTTTTTTTTGGTACGGGTTGCACCTGCAATCTGCACATTATGCAGAACATTTTTGTATTATTTTGATGAGTTGATTCGTTTCTGTCCTCTTATTGTTTTGCATTTATTTCTATTAAATAATCTTCTAAGAATAGAAATTTCTTACTTTGATGAGTTACTTCATTGGCTTATGTTGTATTAGAAGCAATTTTAGTGAAAGAAGAGAATTTCCACGATGAATATAACAATTTTCTGTTTAATTATTCTTGTTGATCTTATTAACAGTATAAACAGACTTTCTGGTGGCACACAACTTCCATCATCCATACTATTGAATATGGTGACTAATACAAGTTTCCTATTGATCTTAGGTTCGTGCTTCTGCTGTGCTTATTCCAGAGTTTTCTGACCTTGAAGATGACGAGGAAAAATATTTGTATACTTATTCAATCCGCATGTCGCTTCTTCCCGAAGGATGCACTATCAATGGAATGACATTCAGCTCTTGCCAACTGCATTGGAGACACTGGATCATCCGTGCTGATGACCAAGTAATATCTGATGTTAACGGAGAAGCTGTAATTGGAAAGGTATGGTTAGTGCAGCTTTTTCGACATCGACAGTTCTGTATTTATTTAGTTATTTGTGATCCTGAGGACTTCTCATGTTCTCCCTTTAACTGCTGGAAGGACGTACAATGTGATTTAAATAGCTCAACAATGAGATGAGCTTGAACTCCTTATTGAACTTTTCAATCGTTTCTAGATCCCTGAATTCTCACTAGAAGTATTTTTAAAATGATAAGATTTTTATTTTATTTTATTTTTGTAGTTTCCACTTTTGCGACCAGGCCAGAAGGAATTTGTTTATGAGAGTTGCACACCTCTACCATCTTCTCAAGGGTCTGTTGAAGGTTTTTTTACGTTCATTCCTGGCAGGTACTCCGCTGATTTTTTTTTTCCCCCCCTTTAATGGATAATTATCTATTGCTTAGATAAAAAAAGAGGTTGTTGACAGTTTGGCCTTGAGAGTGCATGGTTTGGTTTTAAGGTGTTTTGTGGGTATGTTGCTTCGCGTGTGCTGTAGTATTTTGAAAGATGTTAGTTTTTATGATGATTAATCAGCTATATTTGACAGAAAAGATAAGAAAGGGACGTTATTTGTAGACGTGTGTTTTGTTTACTCTTCATTAATCTGATTTTTCTGTGCGTGTGTGTGCTGGATGTTGTGTATTTCGTCCATGCCAAGTCATCAAAAGGACTTCTATACAGTTTAGCAAACTCTTTGGTTGTTCTTTTGCAACAAAACTCAGAAAAAGTTTGAACTCGAGTTACAACTTTATTTAAGTTCATATTCTTTTGTAAAATTTGAGTTTGAAATTCGAATTTGAACTCGAGTTTTGGGTTAAACTCAAGTTCAAGTTTTCCCTTCAACTCCAGTTCATAAACTCGAACTCAAGTTAATGAATAATAGTTTTTCTATTCTTAAAAATGTCATAATTTTTTCGTTTTAATTCTGATTGAGATGATTTTTTTTCTATGCATTCACAACGAAAAGACGAATAAAACCCCACCCAGATACCTTATTAAAATTTTTTATCACCATTGAGTTTTTATTAAAATACTATCTATATACAAATTTAAGTTTTGACTCACTCAAACACAAACTCAAAATGATTTTCAATTCAAATCATAACTCAAATGTGCACATCCAAACACAAACTCAAGTTACAACTTCAACTCAAGTTATAACTCAAACTCAACTCAAGATCATCACTCAAGTCACCCTAACTAAAAAATGCAAAAGAACAACCTAAGTCTTGTCAAAAATTGGTCTTCACCTGTCATAAGGCCAAGTTGGAATCGAGAGATTTTAGGGGATCAAATGTGAGCCCAACTACAGAGGGAGGGAGAGAATCTTCCTTCACTGTCATTGGAGTAAAGTTCAAGTAAGTTTCATAGATGGAGAGAACCGGTATCCTTTCTATTTACCCATCAGCTGTCCTCTTTCTCTTGAACCTCTAATTCTCATGAAGGCTACTTATTCCTTACTACCAGACTTTGGCAATGAAATATACATAGGAATACAAGGGTGTGCTTTTATTTTATTTTCTCTTTTTCATTTTTTTTGTGTTTTCTTAACTACAAGGTGATGCTATTGTTTCATGTCATAATGTCAAATTATATTAAAAATTTGCTCCTTCTTTCTCAGGCGTAGCGAGCCAAAAGACGATCCATTCAAAGTAACAGTGGCACCATTTCCTCTCCAGCTACCAGACTACATTTTCTGAATATCCTGCGCTGTTTTTTATAATTTGCGTGTTAAAAGTTCTTCACTAATTCCTGGTGAAGTTTAGCAGATGTTTTATAGTCTTGACAGATACAGAGTTTCCTCGAGCAAAAAGCAAAAACTGAAACAATAAAATGTTGAAGTATAGTCCTCGACCTAGTTGTATATGGTCTTATACTAGTAATTTCTATGAACTTGGCAATGGTGCAAATACTGTGTAATGCCATGAGCAGCTCTATTTGGCAACCCTGGTATTAGAAGACTCCATATATAAGAGAAATCAGTTTAAGTGTCCCATTTTGGCCACCTCTTTCGATAAACATCATTACTTATTTATTTTTATGTTGAAATTTCTTTTTTTTTAGGAAAGTTTAATTTCGAACAGAGCCGTGTAGAAAAGTGAAATTCATATAGTCGATCTCAATTAAGTTGGGATGAAGGCTTATTTGTTGTTGTTGTTGTAGGAAAATAACTGGTGGCAGTTGAAATTGTTGATCAGCTGATCAATCAAATTCGATCAATTAGTAGAAAGGTAACGGGGCGGCCGGGGATACGCCTCCCTCACCTCCATACCCTTGTCCCCATTTTATCCCTCATTCTAACCTCAATGCCTACCTAATTTAAGATGAGGTTGGGAGTCGAAGAATTCCTACCGGGGAACTCCCACTGGGGAACTATCTCTATACCATATCCATTTACTCATTAGAGTTTAGAAAATGCTTTCAACATTATCAAACTTTAAAGAAAATTTCATTAAATAGAAAATTCAACAACACCTTCATGGAACCGATCCTCTGCTCGCACAACTCTTGGTACATGAAGAAGTCTATGACCTCTAACCCTCCCTTCTACCTCATAACGCTCGCTGCCGATCAGCACCAAACCGACGATGTAGAACTATAGTGACAAAGTTCTGTTTATGATAAGGATGTTTTGTTAATTTAAATTTAAATAGTTTGTATTTGTTTATCTCTAAGATTTAGAGATTAGATTAGTGATTATTTTTTAGTTTAAATTTTGAATTTATCAGTTATTAGAAGATAAGTCCTTAGCTTAAATTAGTTGAGTAAGATTAGGATTCTCTTTACTTATGTATAAATATTCCATTTGTTGATTTCCGAATCAATTTCGGGTGCGGAAGCATGGTAATGCGGATCGGGTCCGAATAAAAATTTTCACAAAACTTTTACGGACGCTATAGATTATATTAATTTATCTAATAATAAATTAATCTCATTAATTTATAACAATGGATACCTTGCCGACAATTAGGATGATAACTTGGAGTCTTTGGCCAACGAACCATCTTTACTCCAAAGCTTTCTTAGAAAACGCAAGTCTTCCTCGTCTATTCCTTGAAACTTGCAAGACGTAGAGTGTGGGCTCAATGTAATTATTGGATCGTTCAATAATTTGTACTCTTTCACTGTCAACGCATGTATGTGAAATAATTGGAAAAATTAAAAAAACTTTTCTTCTCTTTTCTCTCTTAAAATTCGGCCAACTCTTGTGAATTAGGGAGAGAAAAACTTTTCTACCAATACTTATTTTTTTATTCCAATTTACTATTGTCTCCTATTTATAGACAATTTAGGAGAAGCTTTTTCTTCTTCCTTTGGAAAAACTTGTCAAACAAGTTAAACCAAAGCTTGTCAAATAAGTAAAGGTTTACTTCTCCTTTGAAATTACTTGTCATACAAGTAAACCTTGTCCAACAAGGAACCTTGTCAAACAAGTTAACATTTTACTTGTCAAACAAGTAAACCGGATTACTTAGAGAACAAGCAACTAAATCCCAGTGTGTATTTTCCCTATGTCACACGCCGGCATGTGGTCCCACCACAGTGTGTGACAAAATAATTAATTATTCGCGAGTGATATAAAATCCCGATAATTCATGTTGTCTTGCAAATAATACAAGGATGACGGGGGCACTTATGGACCTATAATTCTGAGCTCTAATAAAATTAATAATTAATTAAACTCTTTAATAAATTAATTAATTCTAAAAGTTACTCCACTAAAAATTTGGAATTGCATTCTCAAAATTATAGACATAATTTACTTCTAAGAACTTGAAGTGTCCATTTAATATAACCACTACATATAGATTGATCATCCATAAATAATTCATAATTAGAGCTAGGTAAAAAACCGCTAACCTCTCTAATTACTTCTTTATCCTTGAGTGCAATTGATTCTTCAATAAATAGTATATTCATAAAATACATTTATGAATACGAGCTCGTTACTTATTCAAGTATCGAATCAACCCTCAAGGAATTATTTATATACTTCTTCAAAGAAGAATGAATGGATTCCATCTTGTATATCAGCATTCCCGGCTATCCATTTTATCATGTTCCCAAGATACAAGAAATAGGATTTAGTATCTCGAAATCTGTACTGAGCAAATCAAAGAACACGAATTCACAAATAGGAATCTGCTAACAACTCATGATTGAGATCATTCTATATATGACTATCGGTAGACTCAAATTTCATTTTCTATATTTAACAGAAATTATCAGAAAATCAAATTCTGTCTCTGTCCCAGTTCTACATAATCTCATTATACATAATCTCATGTTGTCTTGCAAATAATACAAGGATGACGGGAGGACTTATGGACCTATAATTCTGAGCTCCAATAAAATTAATAATTAATTAAACTCTTTAATTAATTAATTAATTATATTAATTATAAAAGTTACTCTACTAAAAATTTAGAATTGCACTCTCGAAATTATAGATATAATTTACTTCTAAGAACTTGAAGTGTCCATTTAATATAACCACTATATATAGATTGATCCTCCATAAATAATTCATAATTAGAGCTAGGTAAAAAACCACTAACCTCTCTAATTACTTTTTTATCCTTGAGTACAATTGATTCTTCAATAAATAGTATATTCATAAAATATATTTATGAATACGAGCTCGTTACTTATTCAAGTATCGAATCAACCCTCAAGGAAATTATTTATATGCTTCTTCAAAGAAGAATGAATGGATTCCATCTTGTATATTAACATTCTCGGCTATCAATTTCATCATATTCCCAAGATACAAGGAATATGATTTAGTATCTCAAAATTCGTACCGAGTAAATCAAAGAACACGAATCCACAAATAGGAGCCTACTAACAACTCAAGATTGAGACCATTCTATATATGACCATCAGTAGACTCAAATTTGATTTTCTATATTTAAGAGAAATTATCAAAAAATCAAATTCTGTCTCTATCCCAGTTCTGCATAATCTCATTATACATAACACATCATCAACTTCAATCTCAATTTCCCACAATCTCCTCAAATCATCGATCAATGATGCCAAATAGACATCAATGTCATTTCATAGTTGATTAAGTCTAGAGATCAACAAGATCAACACTAAGAACTTCCACTTCATGCACAAGTTTGGAGTAAGATTGTAGTTTACAATTGTGATGGGCCAAGTACTGTGCTCGTTACTAATATTCATTTGCAAATTCATTCCATTGGCCGATAAATAAGACAAACATTTATGTCGACGTTTGGTTCATGGATTCAGATTTATGATTCAGAATCATTTTAGATTTACGTGTGTTTTTTGTGAGAGAAAATACTATAGCGAATCACGAACCGTGATTCAAATCATAGTACAAATCTATCAACTACACGCATTAATTTTGCACTAAATTTTAAAAGGTATCATTAACTTAAGGAAGGCGAACATCCTTAGCTTTTGAACTAAGTGCCATTATCTTAAAAAAACAATATCATCTTGGGTAGGAAATAGAAAATCAGTACAATAAGTTTTGAGAAACGTCATTATCTTAAGGAATTGAAGAATTTTGCCGATGTTAGTTGTAGGAAAGAGGTGACAGTTTTCTTAATTTGGTAGTTCATGAATATAAGTAGTTTTTCATTCTCCAAACACAGCTCAATAGGTGGTTACCTGTTGCTTATTGTGGTGAGTGGATGGAGACGATTGGTTCATATATTAGAATCATGATATTAGAATCATTTTCAATTTACGTGTATTTTTTGTGAGAAAAAACACTGTAACGAATCAGAACTATAATTCGAATTGGGGTACGAATCCCCCAACTAAACAACCCAGAAATGAGACAACATAGTGGGAGAATTGATCTCTAGTCTGGTGAGGGGCACCATCATTACCTTCTTAACTTTATTCTTTTCATTTTATACTCAAAATTTCCATTTTAAAAACATTAGCAAACTAATCCTTAAGTTTACTATTCTTTAGAACCTTAAACTATAATAACCCACACACTCATTGAACATCGAGAGTCATTTAGTTTGCTGATTTGAGTTTTTAATTCGAGTTAAGATGTGATTTTATGTGTGAGCTTTTTATTGTAGCAAAAAAGTTAAATGTGACTGTTTCTAAGAGCTTTTTACTGTAACAAAACTCAAATTCTAAACTCAAATCGGGACCTAAAAAAGTCTCAATTGACTTATTTGGGTTTAGATTTTAAACTATCCTTAAAAACACAAAATAAAAAAGAAACAAATATTTATTAGAAAAAAGTTATCCAGAAATTACAACATATGCAATTGATAAATTTTGAATGAATGGAAAGGCTTTATTCAATTTTTGTTATCTTTTGGACAAATGAGTCAATGTCTAATTTTACCACTGCCTTATCTAGACGTATATATATAAAGATCAATAAAAACTGTTCAAATGAACAGTTTTTCTGTGAATACGTACAACTTTGGTCTAAAAACTGTTCATTCAACAGTGTTTCCACTGTTCTTTTTATTTTTATTTTTCTCTTTTCATCTCTCTTTTTGTTTTGCCTTTTTTCCATAATTTTATATTTTTTCGTTGTATTTTTAACTTTTTTCTTTTATTTACCTAAATGATTTATTTATTTTTGCAGATGTTATTTACTATTCTTTTAATGTTTTCCACTAGAACTTTATCTTTTTTTCATTTTAGTTCTTTTTGTCCTAAAATTTATTTATTTTAGTCTTTTGTATATTTTTTTTATTTTAGTCCAAACATTATTTTTTTCTATTTTTGTCTCTTTTATCCTATAACTTATTTATTTCTTCATTTTTACCCCTTTTGACCTCCTTTTTAATTTTTGCCTTAAAATTTTCTTTTCTTTTCGTTTGGTCCATTTTATCCTAAAACTTATTTATTTCTTTATTTTATTTTTTTATCTTTTCTTTGGCTACTTGCTCTAAAACTTTATTTTTTTTTTTCCAATTTTGTCTGCCTTTTGAGATTATATAATTAGATGTTATATTTTTAATAATAACACGGTAATTAAAACTTAATACACAATTACTCTCTACATGCATAACACGTGATCTTCAACTAGTTATATAAAAAAGAGAAAATCATTACGGTGACAAAATCCATAAAAAACAAGAGAACTTCTGTGGTAGTATCCATCATTAACTACCCGTAGTTATTGCTGCTTATCTGTTACCTTAAGAGTTTAATAGTTTAATTTGTAAGTGTCCATATTAAAAAATTTATAGCGTGCGACATAAAATTACTGTAATAAAAAATCAAGTCATTAAAAATATAATCCAACGAATTAAATAACAATAAGAACAGATAGTTAAAAAGGGCATGTTCTATCAGAGAAATTAAACTGGGGTTGCATGATACAGGTTTAAAACTCAAACCGATTATTATCTTACAATAAATAAGAGAAATCCTGTCATTCTTAGATTAAGATGTCATTAATTAAATTCCGTAAGAACAAGATTATTGTTCATTTTATTCTCTTTCAATATTTGACTAAATTCTCCTCATTAAACAAGAAGATACGATACCTATATTTCAGGTTTTTCTTAATCTGCCTATATTCCAAATTTTACCGTTCAAAGTTCAAACCAAATCATGGAAATATCTTATGGAGATTATTTAAATTAGAGAAGACCCAAAACCGCGTGTTTCTTTCTAAATTCTGAATCATGCCTTTGTTGTTTTTTTTTCCTATTTTTTTAAAGCATATTTGGATGGATACCTGTAAAGTACTTTTGACTTTAATAAATATTAAAGCCTCCTTCACTTCGCGAATTTGAGTTTTTAATTCGAGCTGAGATGTGAATTTTTTTAAAAAGTTTTCACTGTAGCAAAAAAAAAAAATAGATATGACATTTTTTGAAAATTTTTTAACAATTACTCTCTACATGCATAACACGTGATCTTCAACTAGTTATATAAAAAAGAGAAAATCATTACGGTGACAAAATCCATAAAAAATAAGAGAACTTCTGTGGTAGTATCCATCATTAACTACCCGTAGTTATTGCTGCTTAACCGTTACCTTAAGAGTTTAATAGTTTAATTTGTAAGTGTCTATATTAAAAAATTTATAGCGTGCGACATAAAATTACTGTAATAAAAAATCAAGTCATTAAAAATATAATCCAACGAATTAAATAACAATAAGAACAGATAGTTAAAAAGGGCATGTTCTATCAGAGAAATTAAACTGGGGTTGCATGATACAGGTTTAAAACTCAAACCGATTATTATCTTACAATAAATAAGAGAAATCCTGTCATTCTTAGATTAAGATGTCATTAATTAAATTCCGTAAGAACAAGATTATTGTTCATTTTATTCTCTTTCAATATTTGACTAAATTCTCCTCATTAAACAAGAAGATACGATACCTATATTTCATGTTTTTCTTAATCTGCCTATATTCCAAATTTTACCATTCAAAGTTCAAACCAAATCATGGAAATATCTTAAGGAGATTATTTAAATTAGAGAAGACCCAAAACCGCGTGTTTCTTTCTAAATTCTGAATCATGCCTTTGTTGTTTTTTTTTTTTTCCTATTTTTTTAAAGCATATTTGGATGGATACCTGTAAAGTACTTTTGACTTTTATAAATATTAAAGCCTCCTTCACTTCGCGAATTTGAGTTTTCAATTCGAGTTGAGATGTGAATTTTTTTAAAAAGTTTTCACTGTAGCAAAAAAAAAAAAATAGATATGACATTTTCTGAGAACTTTTTACTGTAGAAACCTAAAACTAAAAACTCGAATCGGTGAAATGAACGAGGCCTAACTCTCTTAAAACAAGTCACCCTTTTAGTGCTTAAAATAAACTTATGAAAATCTTTTTTATTTATATTATTAACCTTTTGCTTGTTAAAAATTCCTTTTAGAAAAATAAAAACTAAAAAATCCATTAAAATCTTTTTATTACATTGCGTTTTGTAACAATAAGTACTTTTGAGGTTCAAAAGCTCTTAAAAAATAAAAAATATATATTTTTTACTATCTAAACACTAATTAAAAAGCCCTGATTTGTGTTTCACTTATTCTACTATTTAAAATAAAATCGCAAACTATCTCATACGACATGTTTAATTTGTCTATCTAAATGCTTCTCTTCTTTTATTCTTCTTTAGTATATGTTTGCAATCATGGTGAATTATTTCTAGCACAAAAAAAAAAAAAAAAAACCACAGTGAATTATTTTCATAGTTGAAAATTCTCTCACAATTATATTATGTTAAATTTTGTTTGGTATTTTGTATCCTTAAATTTTAGACAATCTCCAATACAAATGTTAATATCAATTGTATATTTAACATTAAAAAATATGATGTGATATGTTATTTTCATTTTTATTCTAATACATAATATTATTTTAAATGTTAAATATATTTTTTCTCGTAATTATTAAACTTTGAAAGTTATAAAAATAAACTTTTATTTTTAAATTAATTAAAAATATAAAAGTTACAATGATAGCATGAAAAAATAAACATTTCAACCAATAATAATCAAATGCTAAATTTCTCATATACTATATTTAGTGAGAAATTTATAACAAAATATAATATATGAGAAATTTAACACAACAAATAGTATTATATTGTATAATATTTTTTATACTCAAATATTAAGACCTCGTTCATTTCACCGATTTGAGTTTAGAATTCGAATTTTGCTATAGTAAAAAGCTCTCATAAACAGTCACATTTAATTTTTTTACTACAGTAAAAAATTCTCACATAAAATTATATCTTAACTCGAATAAGTGAAATAAACGGACTATGGGCCCGTTTCATTCGCTGATTCAAGTTTTTAATTCGAATTGAGATGTGATTTTATGTGAGAGCTTTTTACTGTAGCAAAAAAGTTAGATGTGATTGTTTGTGAGAGCTTTTTACTGTAATAAAACTCGAATTTTAAACTCGAATCAGCGAAATGAACGAGACCATATAAATATTAACACATTAATTATATAGTATTGTATTAGAGATACTTATAGCGTACGTTATCTAGTTAAGTCTAGTCTAGTGTATATATCGCTGATTCAAGTTTTTAATTCGAATTGAGATGTGATTTTATGTGAGAGCTTTTTACTGTAGCAAAAAAGTTAGATGTGATTGTTTGTGAGAGCTTTTTACTGTAACAAAACTCGAATTCTAAACTCGAATCAGCGAAATAAACGAGACCTATAAGTATTAACACATTAATTATATAGTATTGTATTAGAGATACTTGTAGCGTACGTTATCTAGTTAAGTCTAGTCTAGTGTATATAAGACCGCGTACGCGTAGATATTACGAGTAGGTATATTATATATGTGTGTGTGTATATATCGTCGCTTAGAAGCTTCCGTGCTATCCTTGTCTCTCAGATCTCTCTCTCTCTCTCTCTTACATTCTCTCTCCATGTAACGCAGTTATTGAAATTCGCTCTATTGCACTAAAAGCCGTTGGATTCTCTCCATTTTACACCTCCCCCGCATTCCATGATCTGCCCCTGAGCTCTCTGTAAGAAGGAATGTTCATTTTCCCGGAAAAATCATAATCCCTATTATGTATTTTCCCGGAAACTTTCATTTTCCCTCGGATTCCCCCTGCAGCTGCGCTTAACTCACCAATCTGATGGTTTTTTGAGCTTCTCTGGAGCTGACTTCTTGGATGTAATTTCGTGTTTTGTTTACTTAACGCAATGATCAGAATTCAGATCTTAATAGGTTTTCTCTATATATTTCAGTCCTAAATTATCAATCGTTTTGTTGTTGTTTCTTAAGTTATCTAAATTCCCAAAGGTTTGCTTGAGATTCTAGGGTTTTATCTGTTGTTCTTAATAGTTAATAGTCTCTTATTCGGAGCTTGACGGACGATAGATTTTCCCTATTTTGTTTTCTGATGTTTTAAAGTCAAGGTCTCTTGAAATTTCATAATCTTCAAGGTCTCTGTTTTTTGTTTGTCAGTAGAATTTGTGAACTCGCTTCGTGTTCCGAGGGAAATCCGATTTCGAGTTTTTTAAGAATAGGGTTTTTGTTTGTTCAGGAAGAAATTACCGTTTCTAGGATATATTATTAGGGTTTAGCATTTCATCTGAATGGATAAGGACAAGTCCCCTGGTCATGGTGGCGGTTTACCGCCCCCTTCGGGTCGATATTCGGGGTTTTCGCCTGGTGGTAGTGGTTTCAATGTGAAATCTGAGCCATCCAGCTCGTCGTTTCCTCCTTTGGCCCCCGGTGGTAGCTCAGACGTGGGTCATTTTGGGCATGGATTGTCTGCTGATTCCGGTCGGTTTAGCCATGATATTAGCAGAATGCCGGATAACCCGCCGAGGAAATTGGGTCACAGACGAGCACATTCTGAAATCCTAACCCTTCCTGATGATATCAGCTTTGATAGTGATCTCGGTGTAGTGGGTGGTGCGGATGGTCCTTCGTTTTCTGATGAGACCGAGGAAGACTTTTTTTCTATGTACCTTGATATGGATAAGTTCAATTCTTCCTCTGCTACATCGGCCTTCCAAGTGGGTGAGTCGTCTTCTTCTGCAGCAACTGCAGCTATGATCGCAGCACCAGCTTTGGGTGCAGCAACTTCCTCTGCAGAGGTTGCAGGCAGTGGTTCTAATGAGAGGCCTAGAGTTAGGCACCAACATAGCCAGTCCATGGACGGATCGACAACCATCAAACCGGAAATGCTTGTTTCAGGTTCAGAGGAGATTTCTTCAGCAGATTCCAAGAAAGCCATGTCGGCTGCTAAGCTTGCCGAGCTTGCTCTAATTGATCCCAAGCGTGCAAAAAGGTATAGCTTTTTTCCTTCAGCGGTTTTATCCTTATTCGACTAGCTTTGTAAGGAAGTTCTGCAAATCAATGGATTTAATTTTATCCTCATTTTTATACGTACTCTGAAGGCGGGCCTTGGCACCATGGTGGGAGTGCTTGTGTTTGCACCCGGGGTCTAAGGTTTGAATCCCGGAAACGGTCTCTCTTTTGGGGTAGGGCCGCATACATATGGGATTGAGCTTTTCCCGGAGCCTGTCATAGTACGGGAGCCTCTTTGGCACTGGGGTCCGCTTTTTTTATACGTACTCTACTTTCAGCTGCTAATATAGGTCTAACCGTCACCGACTGATATTGGCTTGTTTTTTTGTTGTATACTTATTTATTCACATTTAATTTATCTTTTCCATAGAAACTATTGGCTTTCTGCTCATACCATTCTTACTGGAAGATTCCCAAGTGATTGAGAGGCTCCACAGATAATTTTCTACATAATCCACACATACATATACATTTTTGTGATGTACATCTGTATTTAAACGTGTACTACGCGTGCCTCCCCCCCCCCCCCCCCCTCCCCGCCCTGAAAAAAGTCCAGTCTGCATCTGACTGATTGAAATGGAAACTACGAACTATCCAGATTGAAAAACATTTCATTCTATTGTTCTAGTTGAGCAGTATATATAAATGTTAGCATGTTTTCAGGTGACCTTGATGGATGCCCCCCCCCTCCCCGCCCTGAAAAAAGTCCAGTCTGCATCTGACTGATTGAAATGGAAACTACGAACTATCCAGATTGAAAAACATTTCATTCTATTGTTCTAGTTGAGCAGTATATATAAATGTTAGCATGTTTTCAGGTGACCTTGATGGATGCTTGAAAGTATAGTAGTTTAAGGTTCAAGTTCTCGAGGAGGAGGATTTTCTAAGATAAAAGAATACTAGGAAAGAATAATAAATGGAGTGAGAGAAATGGGTTGGGATAATAAATGGGGTAAGGTTAAAGAGTCAATTCGTATTGTAAATGAGCAGCGAAAAAGAGAAATAAAATAATGAATTGAAGTGTGCAGAGGAACTTAAGGGAGGAGGGTAGAAATCAAGAAGGTGGCTTTAGAAAGCTGGATTTTCGGAGAGGGTGGGCCAGTGGACAGCGAAGTTTTCAGCCAGAAGGTGTACGTAAAAGGAAAAAATTGAAAAAAAGGCGTGTTTAAGTATACATGTTAATATTTCACATGGAATATTTCATGGTATATTCGATTAAGATAGACATTTCGATTTGCCAAACAGAAGGCCTTAATGGAATTTGTTTGTCTTCTTAAACCAAAACTAAAGGAGTGGTATTGAACTGGTTCAGTAGATGTTCTCAATCTTTCTTTCTTGCACCCTTGATTGCTTCTAAGTTAATTTTTGCTGTGATATGTTGAAGAAAAAAGTTAATCTAAGGTAATTTTTTGCCTGCTAGTGTTCATACAGTTCTCTCTTTATTTCAAGCATAGTTCTGATTTTCATTGTTGTATTATTGATTTGTGTTAGTTTTCCTTCATTTTAAGCGTAGTATACCCAAAATAAATGTTGCGGGAGACTTGGTAATTTTTGTTGGTATCTGCAAAGTTCTGGGTCTCTATTTTCCTGATTTCAGTGCTTTTGAAAGAATCCTTGGTTTGTTGGTTATAGCTTTTGTCATATAAAGTTTAGGGGCTAAATGGCACCTCCTTCCCCCTTTAAAATCAAGATTGGAGGAGATCACGGGCTCAAATATTTGTAGGCTTGTTTGTTTTAGAACAAAGGGTGAAAAGAGAATAGTTAATAGCCTTATTATATTTTCATTAAAAACAAGTAGATCATAGTCGTGGTTCTGTGTTATGTTACATGTATATACAATTTTTGGTCTAGCGATATTTGAAATGTTTAAATGATTGACAAGACATTCTTTTGTGTATATTTTATTTGATTCCAATCTACCCAAATTTGTAGGGGTTTCTTCAGGAACTTGTGGTAGTTGATTTAACGTTTCTAGAAAATAATCAATTATAATTTTAATTAGCCGCAGGTGCTGTGTTGCAGCCGTTTTGAAATTTCCTTCTGTAATAGAGGAATATGTCGGCTTCTTAGTTCTCTTTTTTGAACATTGGAAACTGTAATCTAATATATATAGTATATATGGATAAATATTAATCTCAACAATTATTTGTGGTACACCTAATCTCATCTATTGGAATAAAAGTGTTTTGCAATACAAAATTTACTAGAGATGGACACTTGAGGTCATTGTGTTTGAATAATTTGCTTCATAATTACTTCAAGGATTCTATGCATATGTAACTTGCACGTGGGCATTTTGGTTGTACCCAGTGGCTTCATTTTCAGTGGGCTGAAAGAGTTTTCAGTGCCTGTGTTTTTCTTTTGTCCTGTTTGTATTACTAGATCCGCAGGAATGACTTAAGAAGTTGATGTTTACTGATGTTTTCCTCAAATTATATCGAAATAAGTAAATTGAACTCAGTCCCTGACAGATGCATTTTGTTGCGAGGGATACCTCACATCTCTGGTCGCCCCTCCATCCAGATAATATGCAGGGTTGTTGTTCTTGTTATTGTTGCTGTTGCTGTTGTTTTCTTCTTTTTTTTTTTTCTTTTTTTAGTTAAAGATTTTGATAAGTTTTGTTCTCTGAAGAAATCATGTTTAGTTAGTTCTGTGTCATGATAACTTGCTTGGAAGAAATTTGGTTCAGTTATTATCTGTGGCATGATGGTTTGTTCAAAAGTCTTTTGCTTTTGCAAGAATTGTTCTTTGTTCCTCTCTCCCTCCACACACCTTAAGGATTCCCCTTATTCCTTAATTTTTCCTTTCCCAACTTGAAAAGGAAAATGGGTTGCTGTTATTTCCCTCTTAAACATTATGTTGATACCTGTATGTTATGTAATAGGATTTGGGCAAATAGGCAGTCTGCTGCTAGGTCAAAGGAAAGGAAGATGCGGTACATTGCTGAGCTTGAAAGAAAAGTTCAGACCCTGCAAACAGAAGCAACTTCGTTGTCTGCTCAGTTGACTCTCTTGCAGGTAAAGTATATTGACTCGGAAGAGATTCTTTATGGTGGAAAGTATAATAGTTTCTGTAAATTGGGGGGTGCTTATTGGATAGATGCTAGCCTACAATTATCTTAGTAGTCTTATCTACAAGTGGTTGATTTTATTTTATTTGGGTTTGCTCACATCTACAAAAGATTGATTAATGACTGTTATCTACTTGTGTGTGTTATGTGAGCAGAGAGATACAAATGGTCTGACAGCAGAGAATAGTGAATTGAAGTTGCGCTTGCAAACGATGGAGCAACAAGTTCACTTGCAAGATGGTGAGCGCCCCTTCCCTTTTTTTTTTTGTTTTTTTTTTCTCGGGCCAATTACTATTGCCTGTTTCTGATTGCGTCCTTTATTTACTCCATGATTCTCTCTGTTTTTTTTTTTTTTTCTTGTTTCCTTTTTCATATATCAAGAAAAGAAAATACGATCTGTATCTAGTATGTTGTTAGGATGTAGGATATTTGCCTAAGGTAGCTATTTAGCACAGTTTCAATCACCTGACACGAATAATTTGTAAAGCGAGGCTTCTCCTAGATGTCATTTTCATTATGCTTTTTGTTTAGTGTTTACTTTGCCTTGGAAAATATCCTCGTTTTGAGGATATCGTATCCTCTTTTTCTGTGCATTATGATTCATATGTCAATACACAAATGTGCTTGTGACTTATTTGGTTATGCACGGGTCTGCAAAAGTGCCTATGGTGCCCTGCCTGACTGTAATATGAAATAAAAATCCACAGAGGAAATTGTGAAGCAATAGTTGGTGCTTAAATGTCAAGTTCCACAGAGGAACATAGCATTCACAACCCAAATGGAGTAATGTCTACTTTCCAGCTCATGATGACGTTGCTTCTTATTTTTCTGGCAGCATTGAATGATGCACTGAAAGAGGAAATTCAGCATTTGAAAGTAATGACTGGGCCGGGGCTCCCGAATGGGGGACCTATGATGAATTTTTCCTCTTTTGGAGCTGGTCAGCAGTATTATCCGAACAATCATGCCATGCATACTCTTTTAACTGCTCAGCAGCAGTTTCAACAGCTCCAGATTCATTCTCAGAAGCAGCAGCAGCAACTGCATCAATTTCAGCAGCATCAACTGCATCAACTTCAGCAGCAACAGATGCAACAGGAACAGCAGCAGCCGCAGCAAAGCGGGGACCTGAAAATCAGAGGAACCATGCCTTCTCCGAGTCATAAAGAAACCGCATCAGACATCAACTCACCAGAAACTTTGTGATCTTGCCAGTCATAGTTCAAATTAGTAGTTCTATCACCATTTAGGAACACATCGTTTTCGTTTCCCCGTTTTGATCGTTTAGCAGGTACGTCAATATAAACTACATTATTTGTAGGTTGCTCCACACATTCTCGGAGCTCAGGATTGAATTGTTTTGTTACACATGTTTTATTTGGCATAGTTGTAGCTAGCACCTTCTGGTCGGTAGTTCTGTTAACATTTAGATGTTGCGGATTTGTTTTAAGCTGTTACTTTGCTCTTTCATTCTCGCACTCTGCACTCATGTATGGAAAAATGTCGGTTCACATGTCCGAGTCTCCTTTCCATGGAGGTTGTGATTTAGTTAATTTTAAGAGACAAGCTGTGACGAGGAAAGCTGCGTAATTTTGAATTTAAAGTTGGGTTTATCGTTTATAATTTTATTTAAGATTATGTTCATCTCTTATTTAGAATATTTAGAATGTTTATTTGAAGTCTATCTTATTATTTTCATTTCTATATAGTGGTTGTAATTTCAATTAATAAGAGTATTTCTATACAAGGCATGTTTACTTTGCATCAAAGGCACTTTCACATCTAATAATATGTTTACTTATAAAATTAGTAGACGTTTGATTCATAGATTCAGAATTATGATTCATAATTAGAATTATGATTCAGAACTATTCTCATTTTACGTGTATTTTTTGTTAAAGAAAAATACTGTAAAGAATCATGATTCAGAATCAGAGACGAATACAGGAAATAAACATTCTCTTAGTAATGGAGATTTAGTGGGCCCTACGCAATATAGAGAATGAGGAAAGGGAATGTCAATTTTTGTACCACCTTTCATTGATCGCTTGTCAAAGTAAATGAATGTTAAATTTTATATATCTATCTTTAATGAATTATTATATAGTCAATGATTATCAAATTATATAAAGGATATTTTAGTGATTACATTCACAATATTGTTATTCCTAATTTAGTAGACATAAGAAAATGAATGGAATTATTCCCATTACACCATATGATTTTTAATCATATTACTTTGCTTTTTAATCTTATTACGTTTCTCATTACATTTTTTTACCGCACTCTTTCTGTTTCATTTACTCTAGTCCTACATCGATTTGTACAAGTAAATCGACTCCTTCCAATGTCGACACCACATGTACCACTGGTTCGAAAAATTACAATCTACATGGCCATCAATATGTGTCTCGTCTTGGCCAAATAGATAACATGTCATAATCTTAATCCTTGATGGATATTTTCAAATTTATGGATTATGTCTTTTGAGATATCAAAGACTCACAGATTCTATGTTGTGTTCAATCACCTCTAAATTTTGAAGATTTATTTTTCATAGTGGATAATAGAAAGGAAATTGTAGTAAATAGTAGATTTGTAAAGTTAAATTAAGTAAATAACGTATTTTAAAACAATTTAAAGTAAATAAAAATTTATGAGATAAATGACTCATTTACATTTATGATTGTTAAAAAATAATTTGTGCAAAAAAAATCTTAAAAAAATCTTTATTTATATAGAAAAAGTTATGTTTACTGGTTGTAAAAAGAAAATTTATATGAAAAAATATTTTTACTAGTAGTAAATGAACCACTTATGCGGTAAATAATTCATTTACTATGTAAACTGTTATTTATTTTAAATAATTTTAAAATATATTATTTACTTAATTTAGTTTCAAAATTTTTTTATTCACTACATTCTCCCATATTAATATATTAATAAAAGAGTCGAATGATATCCTTTTAAGAAAAATTGGACACCTTGGTCATTTTTGAAGTAATTATTAATTTTTTTGAAGAATAATTATAATCCAAAACAATGAGATACAAACACTAATATCGCAACAAATTATAAATCAATTCAAGTAGAACTTAATCTCGACTCAGAAACCGATTCCACCATTTAGAGTGAAAATGCGAGAGAGAAGAAAACATGCACGAAGTTCACTGCAAGAAACTGACAGAACAATCGAGCACATATATGGCTCTTTAAAAACATACCTCTACAATTAATGAAAAACTATGACCGATTGAGTCAAAGACACCTGTAAGCCAAATATCATCACACATCATCGAGGCATAACTCAAATGGGGGGACACAAAAATAAAATTGGAAGGTGGGAAATCCATCTCCGTCGTTACAAACGGAAAACAAAAACACAATAAAACAACACCTACAAGGCGGGGCTAACACCTTTATTTTAACGGAACAACTACCACTAAACAGAGACAAAACTTGAGCATAGAAGCGCCAGAGTGAATCCGACTGCTGTGAGCAGAAGCACCAGGGAACACAATGCTGCAACACCTACAGTGCTGCTGTGGAGGCCAGATCTCCATCTGTAAGGCCGAGATTCTGACGATTAGCTAAGCGGCAGCGTTGGTATCTGACCCTAATAGGGAGGCGCACATAGAGAGAGAGAAAACTCTAACCATCAAATGGTGTTTCTTAATTTGGGAACGTGTGTTCTGTTTTTATGATATATTACTGAATTATTTTTGTTCATAAAGAAACTTATACATAGGATTATCTAAGGTGAAATAACAAGAAGCTTTAGGATTAAAATCATCACGAAAATATAATGAAAGTTTTCTAACAAGTTGATTATGAATATTATCGTATAAGGTGTAATAACGGGCAGCTTTAATATTAAAATAAGCATGAAGGTAAAATTTTCCAATAAGCCGATTATGAATATTTTCGTAATTCCTACTTAATTCAAGTGTTCAGCTTTAGACTCACAGAGTAGCAACAAAGTAATAAATAGATAAATTGATTTGGGTTAATTAATTTTATTTGTTAATGAAGCTTGAATTCTGTGGATGTACATTGGATCCCCTCTCTAGTTCATGTAATTCACAAAACAAATTTGTTATACCAAATTTTTCACAAGTCAAAGTCAACATTCGACGTCCATAAAACCAAAGCTCAAAGTTCAAATTAGTTCTAGCTTAAGTCATTTAAGAAGCATTAATGAGATATTTGTTTCAAGAGTTCGTTCCATTCTAAATCATGATTTTTGGTTCTGTACAGTGTTTTTCTCTCACAAAAAATTTAAATTTAAAAAATCAAAATTATTAATCATAGTTCTGAATTTATTGACCAAATATCCTATAAATGACTCAATAGATAGAACACCTGCAGCTCAAAAGGCCACCACTAGAGCATCTAGTTCGATCCTACAACTACTAGTTCAATCTCAAAGTTCGGAGACAGGAAAGTTACTCACCGAATAGAGGAGGATACGTCTTTGGCAATTAGATAGAAGACCCAGCGAAGTAAGCAGAAGAATTCTCCATTTCATTCACAGTGGGGCCTCACATTTACTACATTGAGCTTAAAAAGCACATCAATAACATACCCATGCCCCACATACATTCATTCTTAGTCAAAATGACCCTATCATACTCAAACACTATGCGAATTCTATGCTTGCTCAGTAGAGAAAGTGAACGTTTGGTTCATGGATTCAGAACTATGATTCAGAACTATTCTCATTTTACGTGTGTTTTTTATGAGAGAATATTGTAACGAGCCACGAACCATAATTCGAACCATGACACGAATCTCCCTTCCAAACGGACTCCAAGTTTTTACGGATTTCCGCTAATCCAACAAGTTTGCTATCTTGACGGGCTCGCAGCACAGCTAGTTGGGCAAGCTCACAATCTAGTGAAGTCGTAGCCCAGCTAATTGGAAAAGCTCACAATCTAGCTAGTTCGCATCTGGAAGAGCTTATGGCCTAGCGAACTCACTGGATCATGACGAGCTCGCAATCTTGCTGTAACGATCCACACCTCCACTTGGTATGATATTATCTGATTTAGGCTTAAGTCTGCACAATTTTGCTTTTTAGTGTTGCCCTAAAATCTTAAAAAAATCTTTATTTATATAGAAAAAGTTATGTTTACTGGTTGTAAAAAGAAAATTTATATGAAAAAATATTTTTACTAGTAGTAAATGAACCACTTATGCGGTAAATAATTCATTTACTATGTAAACTGTTATTTATTTTAAATAATTTTAAAATATATTATTTACTTAATTTAGTTTCAAAATTTTTTTATTCACTACATTCTCCCATATTAATATATTAATAAAAGAGTCGAATGATATCCTTTTAAGAAAAATTGGACACCTTGGTCATTTTTGAAGTAATTATTAATTTTTTTGAAGAATAATTATAATCCAAAACAATGAGATACAAACACTAATATCGCAACAAATTATAAATCAATTCAAGTAGAACTTAATCTCGACTCAGAAACCGATTCCACCATTTAGAGTGAAAATGCGAGAGAGAAGAAAACATGCACGAAGTTCACTGCAAGAAACTGACAGAACAATCGAGCACATATATGGCTCTTTAAAAACATACCTCTACAATTAATGAAAAACTATGACCGATTGAGTCAAAGACACCTGTAAGCCAAATATCATCACACATCATCGAGGCATAACTCAAATGGGGGGACACAAAAATAAAATTGGAAGGTGGGAAATCCATCTCCGTCGTTACAAACGGAAAACAAAAACACAATAAAACAACACCTACAAGGCGGGGCTAACACCTTTATTTTAACGGAACAACTACCACTAAACAGAGACAAAACTTGAGCATAGAAGCGCCAGAGTGAATCCGACTGCTGTGAGCAGAAGCACCAGGGAACACAATGCTGCAACACCTACAGTGCTGCTGTGGAGGCCAGATCTCCATCTGTAAGGCCGAGATTCTGACGATTAGCTAAGCGGCAGCGTTGGTATCTGACCCTAATAGGGAGGCGCACATAGAGAGAGAGAAAACTCTAACCATCAAATGGTGTTTCTTAATTTGGGAACGTGTGTTCTGTTTTTATGATATATTACTGAATTATTTTTGTTCATAAAGAAACTTATACATAGGATTATCTAAGGTGAAATAACAAGAAGCTTTAGGATTAAAATCATCACGAAAATATAATGAAAGTTTTCTAACAAGTTGATTATGAATATTATCGTATAAGGTGTAATAACGGGCAGCTTTAATATTAAAATAAGCATGAAGGTAAAATTTTCCAATAAGCCGATTATGAATATTTTCGTAATTCCTACTTAATTCAAGTGTTCAGCTTTAGACTTACAGAGTAGCAACAAAGTAATAAATAGATAAATTGATTTGGGTTAATTAATTTTATTTGTTAATGAAGCTTGAATTCTGTGGATGTACATTGGATCCCCTCTCTAGTTCATGTAATTCACAAAACAAATTTGTTATACCAAATTTTTCACAAGTCAAAGTCAACATTCGACGTCCATAAAACCAAAGCTCAAAGTTCAAATTAGTTCTAGCTTAAGTCATTTAAGAAGCATTAATGAGATATTTGTTTCAAGAGTTCGTTCCATTCTAAATCATGGTTTTTGGTTCTGTACAGTGTTTTTCTCTCACAAAAAATTTAAATTTAAAAAATTAAAATTATTAATCATAGTTCTGAATTCATTGACCAAATATCCTATAAATGACTCAATAGATAGAACACCTGCAGCTCAAAAGGCCACCACTAGAGCATCTAGTTCGATCCTACAACTACTAGTTCAATCTCAAAGTTCGGAGACAGGAAAGTTACTCACCGAATAGAGGAGGATACCTCTTTGGCAATTTGATAGAAGACCCAGCGAAGTAAGCAGAAGAATTCTCCATTTCATTCATAGTGGGGCCTCACATTTACTACATTGAGCTTAAAAAGCACATCAATAACATACCCATGCCCCACATACATTCATTCTTAGTCAAAATGACCCTATCATACTCAAACACTATGTGAATTCTATGCTTGTTCAGTAGAGAAAGTGAACGTTTGGTTCATGGATTCAGAACTATGATTCATAACTATTCTCATTTTACTTGTGTTTTTTATGAGAGAATACTGTAACGAGCCACGAACCATGACACGAATCTCCCTTCCAAACGGACTCCAAGTTTTTACGGATTTCCGCTAATCCAACAAGCTTGCTATCTTGACGGGCTCGCAGCACAGCTAGTTGGGCAAGCTCACAATCTAGTGAAGTTGTAGCCCAACTAGTTGGAAAAGCTCACAATCTAGCTAGTTCGCATCTGGAAGAGCTTATGGCCTAGCGAACTCACTGGATCATGACGAGCTCGCAATCTTGCTGTAACGATCCACACCTCCACTTGGTATGATATTATCTGATTTAGGCCTAAGTCTGCACAATTTTGCTTTTTACTGTCGCCCTAAAAAGCCTTATACCATTGGGAGGCGGTGTCATTCCTTATAAGCCATCACCATAACCATTATCAAGTGATATGGGACTGTACAACTTACTCTTCTTGACCCTTTCACCTCAAGAGATTGATGACTGTCACGTCGCCTGAGAAAGGATATAGGTGATGGTTTATAAGAAAGGATACCATACCATTATATGAGGCCTTTTGGGTGACGTCCGAAAATAAAACCGTACGAGTCGAGGCTCAAAGCAGACTATATCATACCAAGTAAAGATGTGTGTCTTGACAGATGGTATCAGAGCCTTTACTCAGCTAGAAGTGTCTCAATGAGGACGTTTGCCCCCCCGCCCAAAAAAGTGGGGTGACTAGGACAGTCATCACTCTTTTAAGGCGAAAGGGCCAAGATAGGGTAAACCATGCAGTCCCGCATCACCTGAAGATGGTTATAAGTAATGGTTTATAAGGAAGGACCCCGCCTCCCAATGGTATAAGGCCTGAGGTGATGCCCAAAAGCAAAACCGTGCAGGCTTAAGCCCAAAGTGTACAATATCATACTAAGTAGAGGTGTGGGTCGTTACAAATATTGTAACAACTATCAATCTCTTGAGGTAAAAAGGCCAAAATAGGGTAAGTTGTGGAGTCCCACGTCGCCTAAGGAAGGACATAGGCGATGGTATATAAGGCCACCACCTTCGTATGGTATGAAGCCTTTTGAGGTGAATCCAAGAGTAAAATTGTGCAGGCCTAGGCTTAAAATGGACAATATCATAACAAGTTCAAAAGCAAAACTGCGGGGGCCCCTATACGAAGGGGTGATTGTGACAGCAATCAATCCCTTGAGGTAAAAAGGTGGTGGTCTATAAGGAAGGACACCACCGTGAGGTCTTTTGGGTGAAGCTCAAAAGCAAAACCATGTGGGCTTAAGCTTAGAGTGGACAATATCATATCAAGTGGAGGTACATATCGTTACACTTGTGACCTTCTTACCTAGCTAGTTGGTCAAGCTCGCATCATGATGAGCTTGCACTCTAAAGAGCTCAGGGCCTAGCAAGCTTGGAATCTAGGTAGTTGGCCAAGCTCGCATCCTAAAGAGCTCGCGGCCTAGCGAGCTCGCAGCCTAACTAGTTGGCCAAGCTTGTGTCATGATGAGCTCGCAACCAAGCCAAGCCCCACAAATGAGAGCAATGTCATGTCCCTCCTCAACATAAGTGCAAGGCCATGCCTCTCCTCAACATGCGAGCAAGGCCATATCCTTGTTCTGACCAATTTCTAACAATAAAGGTAAAAATATTTTCGATCTATAGTAAATATGAGAATAGGTTTAGAAACACAAACTCTGGAGTACAGGAACCACAACAACGAGATGAAAACCCGCATTCATTCTTGAATGTTTTCGGGTTGAAGAAGAAGAAGAAGACGATTCAAACAGAAGCTGCATCACAGGTGGCAGCAGCTTCAACGAGCTTATGGCGTACCTCAATGAGAGCTTAGTAGTCGACGGTACTAGAGAATCGTTTGACTTAGTTCAATGGTGGAGGGCACGAGCATTAACTTGGTCAATCCTAACTCGATTGGCAATGGATATTTTTTAGATCTCAGTCTCCATTGTTTCATCCGGACAAGCCTTCAGTACGACCAGACGAATACTTGAGGAACGCCGAAACGCATTGCTAAGAGACATTGTTGAAGCTTTGGTCTGCATTAAGGATTGGGATCGTGCCGATCAACGTTTACAGGATACAATTTCGCCAGCAAGTTAAGAATGGATCGATGAATTTAATAGATTAACATTTAATTTTGAAGATGATCCTTCAGCTTCAAATTAAGTTGTAATTTGTAAATATGTATTTACTTTCGACATTGTAATTGTATATTTAGACTTTGTAAGTTTGTAAAATTTATAATTCGTCACAAAATGATTGTACTCCTTTTCCTTACCAAGTTTTTATCCCAATTGGGTTTTTCTTGGTAAGGTTTTTAATAAGGCAATCATGAATTACGAATTTAAAAATTAATATACAAAATTAATTTATTAAATTGTGTTAATAATGTGTGTTGAATATTGATTTTAGTTTTTATATAATTTTAACACAAAATAACTTAATAATTATTTATATACAAATATAATTACTAAATAATAGTATATTATCTCGGGCTCGGGTGGGCGGTCCAAAAATTTTAGGCAGGTCAGGTTGGGCATCAGACACAAAATTGGTTTTTTCGGGCAGTTGCAGACGGCCCGTCTAAAGTTCCAACACTAATCGCCACCAGTAATAGAATACAACCTCGCCATGGTTGTGAAGTTCTTGCGACAACGCCGAGCTACATTGCCCAAATAGGTTTAAAGAGGGAAAATTAGATGACTTTTTTTTACCACCTTTTTACTAAATGACCAAACTTTTAAATTTTACCAAATAACAAAACTTTTTATTCTTTAGGAAAATGATCGTTTTTTTACAGTAATTAATAAGTGATAAACCATGGTTAATCAGGGATCAAAGTTAATACAAAAATCAGTCATTTTTCTAATTTCATGAACTTTGACCATTTACTAGAAAATCCACTAAAAAAAGTCATTTAGCTCTGCATCCCGTTTAAAAAAAAGAAGAGATGCATGGATACTTTTGTTTTTAATATGAAAATTGAACGCTTCCCTCTACTCTTTATAAAATAAGTAAATATTCACTGTAGTAATACCATCGTATTAATTCTAAAATCTTGTTAAAAAAATTTCTTAAAATTTATCTAATAGTATTGCAAGATATTATTGTAAATCTTTCATTAACTATGGTTAGGAAGTTCAAAAAAAAAAAAAGAAAAAAAAAAGAGGAGGATCAATCTCATCTGTGCCCCCGGATTTTAGGTTATTCTTACCTTATCCTCTAACTTTAAAAACTGTCAATGCCCTTCAAATTTTGAATTAATCTCGCTTGACCCATTATTATTATTATTTTTGTCTATTTTTAACAAGAGTTATAATGTAAATGATTAAGTGGGACTAATTCAAATTTAAGGGGCAAGTGAGAGTTTTAAAAATTTGGGGACAAAATGGGAGAAGTAATAATAAAATAGAAAAGCACTGATTTTTTAGTCGTCATAGTAGACTAACCCGGAGATGTTGCATGTGATTTACTTTTTATTTTGTAGTACTGAGCATCAATATCAAGTATATATACATAGTTCTATATCCTTATTCCTCAGCTGGCAAAAACAAGAGCATTGCTTATTTCTACATAACAGAGTATTTGGGGCCACCGGCTCCTTCAGGCACGGTCCACTCTATGTTTTGCTTCGGGTCTTTGACATCACATGCCTGAAACATGACATAGCAGCAACGTGAGCTATCTCGAGCATGTGTCGAAAACCACCATTGTCGGTCAATGAACCGTTGTGGTTTTAGCATTTGATGGTCAGCATGCGTCGAAAACTTAAGTTTCTCGCATTGGAAAGTAAGGAGAATTATTTACCTTAACCACTCCATTAAACGAATTCCAATTAAAAATTAAAAAAAAAAGAAGAATTCTCTGCAAAAACCAAACAGAACCGACTGTAATCGACTGACTAAATAGTTTCGGTCGGTGTTTAGTTATTTTTTTCCTTATGGTCGGTTTAGTTTCACTTCTGGCTGGTTTCGATCACCAACCGGTGTTCATCCTTAAGTGCTGTGTGTTAAGTGAGACCCTGGTTTGCTTCATTGCGTTCACTCGCGGAGTTCTAGCTCTAGTTAAATTCGTGACGGTTCATGACAAGACAGACATACATATAAAAATAACTCTAGGCTTTAAAATGACAAGAAAACAGTACAATCGGGCTATTTAGCATCCTCAATTTTCTTTGAAGGTATAAAAAATGAAATCGTCCTGGTAAGCCATATACCGAACAAGAGGAATAAAATCAAATATTTAATGGAGGATGGGAAAAGAGGCTTTGCTGAATAACTCACCTTGCAGTGCAGACAATTTTGAGCATTGATCTGCAACCTAAGCCGACCCTCTTCGTCTGGGTTGTACCTACATTCTCAATTAAGTTGAATAAGATGTAATTCACAGAACAGGAGATTAATCAAAAGACAGAGCTAAATAAGTAACACATTACTCGTATACGCGTGCGGGACAATAGCGTGACTCAGGTCCAGCGTACTCTGGCAGATTTACAAATTCAGGAATTTTCGGGTCCCTTAGGCGCAGGTGAGCTGGTTGGTCGTGTTCATGATTAGTGTTGCTCCTAAAAGGATGGTGAAAATACACGTCAGTTGCTCCAAAAAAAAAAGGTGGAGAAAGAGAGAATGGAATACAAGAAGCAATCTCTAGAAACTTTGGGCTTCTTAAAGATGCCTTCTTTCACTTCTTTAAACAAGAATATTATCCAATTGAAAGAATTATGAGGAAATGAGTTCAGCTATCCGCAACTAGATATAACAAGAATACTGTGAGGTCTCTATGTCAAACTACTCTGCTCGTATGCAGGTTAGATATAATACTTTCCAGGAAAGATTAAATATGTGAATATTGATACTGTTCAATTTAAATTAACCACCAATGCAAATACTTTCTATTGTGTCAAGGAGATAGTGATTATTATGATCACAATGACAGAATTAGTACAATTATCCAGGGCGAACCCCAGCTTTTCATGGTCAGACGATAGGAGTCACGCTGTCGCACTGAAAATCAAAAGAAAAGACACTGATTTTCAGATCTTTACACAACTTGACAAATAACACTCATGGCCGTTCAGCTGTTCCTCCAACAAGGTTGTAGGATATGCTACTTAACAAGAGACAAGGTGGGTCACTTATCTATTTCAACAGTTCCATTGCTTCCCTAATAAAGATAAACATGAATTAAAAGTTAAAAACTGTATTTGTAACCTGTGTAGAGAGGTGGGAACATCGAAAGACACAACCCCATCTGGTTTTGGATAATGAATTGGACGGTGTAGTTTTGCAACCTGCATGCATGAAAGTGAAAAATCAATCTTTGTTGACCTGAAATAATTCAGTTTTGGGGTAAACCATACATACAGTTTTCTATCCAGTTATGTATCTTTGATGGACACAGTTTCATATTTTGTAAATTGCTGCCGAAGTGATGAAAACTTCAACATTCATAAATGTTACAACAACAATTCACAATCATTAGCTCGTTTAGAAAACTATTTCCCATGGTCTGATGATCCCAGTGCCGAACAAGAAATATTTTACAATGCACGTTAGTGTGAGTTGTGTCATGAATTAATGTTGTTCCAAATGGCATCTTACATCTGTTGCCTCATGATCGGGTTTTCCATGCTTCAGTGTGAACGGAAACTTCCCTTTCAGTATATAGCTGATAGGCAAAAAAAAAAGCTGTTAGCATGGTGTATACCAAGAAAGAAGATCAGATAAAATAAAATCTCATACAGAAAATATGTTTACAACATAGTAATCTTACTGTTCAAGAGCACTGATGGCCAGACCAGGAAAGAGTCCATATTCAAATGCCTGCAAATTTAAATAACGAAGGATTAGTGACATCACAAAACCTCAAACATTGTGAATTGGTCAGTTAAGAATTTAGCAGATAAAAAAGAAATAAATAGAAAACAGAAACTTCTCTCAAAAATGCACGTTGTGGTGACTCTGGTGAGGAACAAACAGTTTGTGGAGATTAGGAAGGCACAAACAGTTTTGGGGTTATTTTACGATCAAAAGAAATTCTTGAAAGGAAACAAAAATGCTTTCATAAGCTTCTTGATTTTTTATACTTGTATCTTGTTTTGTTTTTCTTCTTTTCGGCGAGGATACCTTATCCTCTTTTTTGTAATTGATTCATTTAATCAATATAGTTTTTCTCATAAAATATATTTATGTGTGTGTGTGTGTGTGTGTGCATATGTGTGTGTATATATATCTATACAAATATTTCTTTTGAAGACAAAAGCTACCTGGAAATTCGGGATAGCAGATCACATGAGGATTCCAAGATGGTTTTAAGGGGATATTGACAGCAAAAGTGTGTGGAGAAAACAAGAATTCGGGATCATGAATAGTTCAAACAACAAAATGCGGAAAATAAGAAGATATAGAGTTCGAGGGGGGTAAAAAAAAAAAAACATGCAAGTCTTCAGCAGACTGAACTATGTAAAGTTCATACATTGACCTCTCAACACATATAAGATTTACAAAGGGCCCATTTAGTTCGCTAATTTGAGTTTTTAATTCGAGTTGAAATGTGACTTTATGTAAGAGCGTTTTACTGTACCAAAAAAGTTAAATATGACTGTTTCTGAGAGATTTTTACTGTAGCAAAACTCGAATCGGTGAAATGAACGGGGTCAAAAGTACTTATCGAGTCGTAAGCTTTACCTCTCTCTCAAAAGGACAACAAATCTATGCTCTAAGAATCCATAGGTCAAAAGCCCTTTCAGATTCTACCACGCAAAAATACAGTTATCGACGAAATAAGACCTATGGCTCACAGGCACAATAACAAAATCCAAGCACAAAATATATGATTAGCAGAGAAATTATAGGTGATGCTTTTTGGATCAAAATGTTCTTCGTGTGAATGTGCTGTTTCTGACTACGTAAAATTTGCATTTCTACTCTTAAGAGTTGCATGCCTTTTCACCATGTATATACCTTCTTCTTGCAAGCAAACACGTTATTAGTGTCCGTATATCTTGTTAGAAAAGCAAATGACAACTTATGCAGATTGTAAAATTGTGAAATAGAAGAATGTGAAAGACTAAAATGTTTTGCAATAAAGGCTAGGTAACTGCTTTATCACGCAGTTATGGTTATCGAACATGCTCCACACTGGCAATGGTCAAAGAGTAATTTTACAGCTTAAAAGAAGTGAAAGCCCAATTAGAATGACAATTTCAATTTTGGAAACCAACTAATAATTATTTAAAGTCTCAAAGACCCAAAAACAAAAAACAAAAAAAGAAGCTGCTGATTTACTCACTGGTCGATAGTTCCGGGCTCTGTATAGTTCTTCCCATATCCATGAATTCTGTAGATTATCCCAGTATGCTTCCATGCTCAAGCCTTCATGAAGAGCATGAAATGCAGCTTCTGCTGCCAGAATTCCTATAAGTAATATTTAGTACTGTAAGCTATGTACATTAGATTGCAATATCTCCAAGAAATTATTTCTACTTAGAACACAGATGAAAACATTCTTGATTCCTTTTTTTCTATAATTATAATTCAGAAGGCATTTTCCCAAAGCGTATCCTATTTCATTAGTCTAGAATTCAGAGATTTCAGAATGAAGCAGTTAGCTACACAACGTGTGAAAAACAAAAGCCAAACTAAGTTTACCAGCATCATACATAGTAGTACTCTCTATGTACTGTATGGTTCGATTATGTTCAAACTAGAACATGTGAATGGTTTGTCAGAATATCGAGGAGATAAAATTCATGTCAAATTGATTTTTTGGTAGATTTTTTTTTTAATTTTTTGTTAGAAATTTTCCGAAGAGTTTCCCATTTGGATTGGCCTTCATCAAGGTTCTGCTCTTAGTCCTTATCTTTTCACTATCGTGATGGACAAGCTGACAAGAGAAATTCAAGATGGAATTCCTTAGTGTATGCTTTTTGCAGACGATATAGTTCTAGTTGATGAACATCGGGAGGGAATTAACCGTAATTTAGAACTATGGAGACAGACTCTTGAGACGAAGGGATTTAAGTTAAGTAGAACGAAGACTGAGTACATGCATTGTAGGTTTAGTAATTTGAGAGATCAGAGTGATAGAATTTCTTTAGATGGTGTGGTGATTGGGGCTTCTAGGAAATTTAGGTACCTTGGGTCTATAGTGCAGTGTGAAGGGGATATAGATGAGGATATTGGACATAGGATTAAGGCGGAGTGGGTTAAGTGGAAGAATGCCACGGGAGTTTTATGTGATGATAAGATGCCTATTAAGTTGAAAGAAAAATTCTATAGGACAACAATTTTACCCAGCTATGTTATACGGTAGTGAATGTTGGACCATCAAGAGAACAAATATACAAGATGAGTGTGGCGGAGATGCGTATGTTAAGATGGATGAGTGGCCATACGAGGATGGATCGCATACGGAATGAAGTTATTCGTAGTAAAGTAGGTGTAGCACCAATAGAAGATAAGGTACGGGAAAACCGTCTGAGGTGGTATGGGCATGTACAACGTAGATCGTTAGATGCACCTGTTCGTGCTTGGGAGAACATCCAAATACCTAGTACTAGGAGAGCGAGGGGTAGACCAAGAATTACTTGGGCTAACGTAGTTAGGCACGACTTTCAAGATCTATGGCTTTAGGAGGGTCTCGTATTTAATACGAAAAAACTGGAAACGAGAAATCCATATGGCTGACCCTAATTAATTTGGGATTAAGGCTTGTATTTGTTGTTGTTGTTGTAGAAATTTTCCTCAGGGATGAGGACAAACCTATTAACCTCACTAAAAATGACTACCATGGGGAAAGTGCCATACGCATTTTTGTGCTTGAGGTTTTACTTTGCTTTTGTTATTGAGTAAGCTCTTAACTTGCCTAATAAAGACAGTATGAGTAGAATCTGTAATATTTTGGATGAACACTTAAATAGCAATCATAAGAGTTTGAAAAAATCATACATTTGGGGAAACATTAAAAAAAAATAGAAGATTGCAATAAGCAACCAAGGTGAAGTACTAACCATTTAAAAAAATATATCATTTAGCCAAAAAAAATAAAAAACACCCAAAAAAAAGGACAAATTTGAGAAAAATTATTATAACAGGCAAATTTTTTTTTTTTTTTTTTTTTTTTTGTAAGAACAAAAACTTCATTTATAAAGAAAATTGCAATACAAATGAAGTTTAAAGATGGATGAGGGATCCATCTTCAATTAGAACAACACAAAGAGCAAACGTAAAACAAAAGGCAAAGTATAGGGGAAAAAAGTACAGTTGATCTCAACACATCCTCCCAACTTAACAAAATTAAAGATAATGAAAAATGCTTGAAAGCTACGTCCGTTGAAGCCCAAAGACGGAAGGCCAACAACAGTTTTATACTTCAACAAAGATTAAATAAGAAGTACCTGATTTCATTGCAGTATGAGTTCCTTTTATTTTAGGAACGTTTAAGAAGCCGGCTGAACATCCAATAAGTGCTCCTCCCGGAAAAACTGGATATGGGATAGACTGAAATTTAACTAGCATCATATTTGTATTTGTACAACAAAACCAGCCGCAAAATGTCATTTGTCATATGCAGTTTACAATTAGAAACTAAGAGAAAGAAAGAAAAACAATTACTCTTCGTCTTTCTGCCACTTGTAGCTGCAATTTCATGAAAAGCATTACAATTAACAACTCCTAGCATTCTATAGTGAAACCATTGTTCTCAAATCCTTCAAGATTTTACTATCCAGAAGTATTAAGAATACAATGTTCCTTCTTTTCGGAAGATTTACATCAACAAGTTTTACCACCCTAAACTTCATTCCAATAATCCAATCAATTGAATTTTATAGTCACACTCTTAAATCTGAAGGTCCATAAAGTTATGCAAGCATGTACAGGAAACTTTGGGATGATAACATCATAATTGTTCCATTAAATTGATTTTGAGTTCCTGCATGTATAACATACCTGAAAACCGCCTTCATTTAAAGTGCGAGCTCCATATTGGAGAACAGTGCCACCCTCCAGTACTGGTTTAATTGCAGGATGATGTTTAAGTCTCTATCACCAGGAAACCCAATGAACATAGGTTGAGTAGTAGCTAATTTCAAATAGTAAAAAAAAAAAAATGGGAACAAAAACGACGACTTCAAAGCTACTGAGAGAAAATTCTAAGGACATCTATCAGAGAATAAACGTGTGTGTGGGATCTCAATAGGTTGAGATCCTAGTTTTGCATCTTTTGGTTTCAATATTTGGGCAATTCAGCTATAATACCATACCATATTAAATACAAAAGAGGAGGATAAGGTATCCTCACACCAAACGCACAAAAAAAAAGAGAAAACAGGAAAAAGGCCAAAACATGGTCAAAATTAGAAACCAATCACGTCCTTCCAGCTCAACACAACCAAAGAGAAACGATAGCCCTTAAAAGCTTTATCAGACTACGCCCAAGGGGAAGCTGTAAACTTTGCTTTCTCAAAGAGGTCAATAATATCAAGCTCCTCTATCCTCAAAGATCCTAGCATTCCTTTCCGACCATAGATTCCACAAAACCGATAGCACCGAGCTCTTCCACAGTACTTTAGCCATCTAATTCAAAGCCAAACCTGCCAAATCCTCCTTCAATACCGAACTGCAGTGGGCAGGAAAAACCCATGAGAAACCAAAATCTAATAGTAATTTCTGCCAGACCAATCTTGCCACTGGACTATTCAACAAAAGGTTATCAATGGATTCATCACTAGCCCTGCACAAAACACACCACGAAGGGGACAAAACCCTATGGGGGATCCTCTTCTGCACCATATCACAATTATTTAATTTCCCAAGCGCAACCAACAAAGCGAAAACTTTAATTCTAAGGGGGACACAAGATTTCCAAATGAATTGAAAGGATTCAAAATTCAGAATTTCAGGACCATTAACTAAAGAGGAAAAGAAGGACCTGCACAAAAAACCCTTAGGATCACACAACCAAACTTTTTGATCAGGAATTGTAGGCTGAATAGGAAGAGAATTGATTAGATGAAGAAGAGAATACAAATCCTCTGCTTCCCTGTCATTAAGACCTCTTCTAAAACCAAGATTCCAATTTGGATCTCCAATCTCAGAATACAAACAAACTTGTGAAATAGAGGCATTAGGAAAATCTGAAATTCTGAAAAGACGATGAAATAAAGATTCCAAAGGCTCATTCTCACAGCAAACATCTTTCCATAACAAAATTTTAGACCCATCCCCAACTCTCAATTTTGTGTTTTTAAGGAACGCAACCAACCCTTGAGAGATGAACTTCCATGGATTTCAAAACAAAACCCCTAGTAACTAGGTTTGAGTCCCACCCATTTGGTTTTAACCCATATTTACTCCTGATGACTTTGGCCCAAAAAGAATTTTGCTCCAAAGGAAACCACCAAAGCCATTTACCCAACAAAGCCAAATTTTTCTTCTTCAAATTCCCGGTTCTCAACCCGCCTTCTCCTTGCTTCTTCACACTACATCCCAAGCCACCAAACTCCTTGATTTATCCCCCTCCTGATTTTCCCAAAGAAAATTCCTCATCATTCTTTCTAGTATCTCCACAACTATGCGCATTCAGCTTATTAAGAGCAACAAGCCAGCAGAAAACTTGGACCTTCTTAGGGGTATGAGATTTCCATATGTTATCATGATAAGTGAACCGCGGAGATGAAGTATCACCTATCAACGAGGAGAATAGGGATTTAACTGAAAACAAACCACTGTGATCGGGCACCCAATCTCCTGTCTTGAATAAACTCCCTCATCTTCTCTATCCGATAGATCCCTCGAAAAACCAAAATCCCACAAGCCAACATTCCGTCTCAGATATCATGTTCCAAAACAAGACTAGCAATTGGCTGATTTTGGATTGATGAAATTCAATACAAGGAGGGGAATCTTGAACTCAAGGGTCCTCCTTCACTCCACGAATCCTCCCAAAAACGAATGATCTCGCCCGACCCTATCTTCCATTTTACCCTTTAGAAGAAACTACCAGCCACAGATTGGACTGATTTCCAAGGGCATCTGAATGTCACCCTCATAGCTGCCCCTGAATCCCAATCATTTGAAGCCAAGCCATATTTTCCTACAATGACTCTGCTCCATAAAGCATCTCTTTCCAACGGAAATCTCCAAAGCCATTTGGCAAGCAGAGCCTCATTCCTCTTTCTTATGTTCCCGATACCCAGACCACCTAGTTCCTTCGGTTTGCAAACTTGCTCCCAGGCAACCAAATCTGTTGAACTGTCGTCCGAGAAACCCTCCCAAAAAAAGTCTCTCATAAGCTTTTCAATTATCCCAACCACACCCACGAGGATTCTAAACACCGACATGTAATAAATAGGCAGCGAAGCTAAGATAAGAGTTAGTCTTCCCCCTCTTCATAAAAAGACTTTCTTCCATCCATCCAACCTCTTTGCCACTCTAGTAATGACCGGATCCCAAAAAGCTGTTTGCAATGGCTTACCGCCTAGGGGCAATCCCAAATATTTAACAGGCCACAAGCCAACTGAACAGCCAACAACACGAGCCAGCCTAGACAGCCTATTTTCCTCCAAATTTATCCCCAAAATAATACTCTTTTCCAAGTTAGTTCTCAACCTTGAAATTAAGCAAAAAATCTCCAATATAGTTGATAGGTTCAACAGACTTTCCTCCTCCGGTAAAAATGTCCAATATAGTTGATACGTTCGAAAAATCACTTTTTGTTCCTATTAGGTTTTTTGGGCAATAATATGTAAGGCCCTAGATCCATAAATGCATTACAAACAACAAACGGAAGACACATTTAAATCATATAATTACAAATTTACTTTACCTGGAACTCCTCATAAGGGTTCAAAAATGGGTTGCGATAATTTAAAGCAACCACAAGACCAATAGAAACCTGAAAGATCAAGTAAGAGAAGAGTGTAACCCTATCTGGAAAACATGTAAAATGATACCATGATACCATTATTATTGCAGCAAAATTCAATGCTATTTGCCTGAACACCACAAAATTAAGAATAAATTAAGGTAGAGGACCTGTCTATCTTTCATGTGGTAGAGAAATGATCCCCCATATGTCTTTTGATCCAAAGGCCAACCCAAAGTGTGAAGCACGGCCCCGGGATTATGTTTTCCCTCATCAATTTCCCATACCTAAATACAAAGAGCAGCAGAATTTAGGGAAAGCTGCATAAACCTTTTGGTATCTTCAAACAAGTGAAATTCAGTAGGTTAATATCTCAATCTTATAGAAACAACAGTGGTTTCAATATATTAAAGAACCAAAATTGGATTCCTCAGCATTCAATTTTATGGTGAGGTTGATCAAACTTTCTTAGAATGATATCCTAATGCAAAAGTCTTTTGCAATTAAACAATACTTTAGTTATGCGCTATCATTCTAATAGATTTCTTGAAGTAAGAAACACCATAAAATATTTCGAAGGAATGTGGCAGCAATAGAACAGAGAACAAAAAAGTCCTATAAATATGCCTAAACAATAACAAACAAAAAGTATCAGGATCTCAATCTTCACATATAAAATTTTACTTCAAGGTTTTGTCTTCTTCCAGCTCAAGCTGCAAGATTTTATTATAGAAAAACCGACAAGATATGCCACAAATATCAGCACAAGTTAGGAATGCGTGCTATACTTATTAGCATTTACAATAAATTGTGTCATTAACACTGAAGCTTGAAGTAATTTTTTAGAACAAAAAATGGTTTTTGAGTTTACCTAACCTAGAGTAAAAATATATAAAAGCATATAACCTCTTTAATTCCCAAAGCATAAGTCTGATGGTGACCATGACCCTTTTCTCTCAAGTTGAACTTCTTTATTAGTTCCTGTAATAGCCACACACAAAAAAAAAAAAAAAAAAAAGTATAGGAAACAATATATCAAGAGGTGCCTAAAGAAAACTGGAAGTTTAGAACATTGAGCAGCTTGTTGCAGCAATTCTTTTTCCCTATCAAACCTCCGATAATGACCCTCGACATCCCTCAGATAGAAGAGTTATTCGTCCTGCATTGGCGTTTCATATTTTTATTAGAATGTGGAGGCTAAAGTGGTCAAAGCATCAAGCTTAACTAGGTATAATTTAGCAAGAAGGTTCATAGTAGCCACTATCCATCATCCATTTGTACAACCTGTTGAATACATATAATCACATATAAACAAGGAAAGCATATGGCATCTCATTTTCACATATTTGCAATGAATACAACAGTCTCTTTCTCTCTAAAAAAAATTCAAACAGTGGAAGTACGAATTATAAAGACAGTTTCAAAATCAAAGGTAAAGTTTTGATAGTACCCACAAAATATTACACTGATGGAATAATCAGATCAAAATTAAAGAAGATAGTAATGCCATCGGAGTAATATGAAGCTTGGTATCAAGTAACTTGACAAGATTACAAAAGGGAAGAACATCATATAACAAAAGCATAAGCGTTCAACACTCAAAGTGGGATCAACTTTAAGCCGTAAACATATTATAAAATGCCTACATGCTCTCAAGCATAATTAGAATGAAGATATGAGCATGTATGTCTCCTTCCTATATAAACAATTAGCATGCTTGTCAATACTTGCAAATTAGAGAGAGAGAGAGAGAGAGAGAGAGAGAGAGATTGCCTTTAAGTGCTACACCACGCTGAAAATTTTCCTTCTTCGAACCATCTTTTGCAATTCCCATGTCATTAGTTCCAATGCCAACAACAACGTCATTTGCGTCATACAATATCTGCTAATTATATAACTTATAAACATAAAATATTCAACAATATATTAAACATGAGCAGGACGCATAGGCAAGAGTACCTCGCTAGCAGCAAAACCTGGGTATATTTCTACCCCTAGTTCTTCAGCCTTGGCTCCCATCCAGCGTACTAACTGACTCAGACTACATATCACAAGGTTCAATGATAAGTTTTTTCATTCAAATAAGCGTAAAGCATTACTAGATCACAAACTAGAAGAAGCAACATAATTTTCCAACTATAGAACTAGCCGGAGGTCTCTCTCTCTCTCTTTTTGATGTGTAGGGATCTAATAAGGTCATACTGTGCATGACCTCATTATTCTTTTGTTTCATTTTTGTATTTGGGATACTAACACAAACCACCAGTAGTCATCCAAGCCAACAGAAGATGATGGTTACCAAAGACGTAAAAACTACCAGCATTTGACATAAAAGACAGAGACAGTCAGAAAATCTAATTTCAGACTTCTCTCTGCCTGTACAAGAGCTAAGCTCTAATTAATCTAAAATGGGTTATTTTTCAATATGAAAAGGTTGTCAAAAGAAAACAGAATCATGATAATTTCTACCACTGATGGGCTTAAAGAAAGAAACCACCTAAAAGCATTTCTGGGTAAAATGAAAACCAAATAAGAAATTGGAACCTACATAGTGCATTAAGGTTTTGGAACTGGAGAGCTAAGAGAACAATTAAGGGTGAACCATCCATGGTTAAAAATAAAATAACAAAAAGTTAATGCACAATCTTGATGCTATATTGTGTGTATTTACATCTCTCTCTCTCTCTGTGTCATGAATCGTGCTTACCTTATGACATAATTTCCTTTATTATCAAAAGGTAATGGCAGAGAGAACGCACGCTCCTTTGTCAGAAACCAAAATTTGTCAGATGAAACAGGGACAGAGATTGGTGACTGCAAACAGAGTTCAACAAACAATACATGTTATAATAAACAGCAAATAGATAAAAATACAAAACAACCATGTGTAACACAGTAGGTGATAGATCTCACCTTATTAGCAGACAAAACAGTGACTTTCCTTTTTCATATTATTTTGCATTTACTAGACTATGTGAGTAAATAAAGCACTGAAGTTCCTTGCATTCTGGTGTCCAGAAAAATGGAGCACACATTGGAACTATCACAATTCTACCTAAAAGAGGTTGCTTACTTTCGTAAGTGCAGCTTTCTTCACAGGGCAACCTCTCCTAGTGATCCCTAATATTCAGCTAACCAGAAACATCTAAACAAACAAGACTTAGAGAGAGAGAGAGAGAGGGTCCTATTTGGTAACATCACATAAGAAGTTTGAAGTTATTTAGGTGGAAAATATATGCAACATCAGCAATACGGTAGATTTGTTACTTCCAAACATTGAAATTTGGACACATACAATTGAAGATGATCATCTCTCTGAAAGGTTAAAGCATTTTACATGCATAATTTAAGAGCCAAAGTAAGCTGATAGGGAAACCATGAAGGGCAAAACAAATACCTCTTCCTGTTTCCACTGAGGAAGAAGTTCATTTAGGGCCCGAGGTTCAAAAACATTCCCAGAAAGGATGTGTGCACCTATTGGGAATCATGATGAAATCAGTGAGCTACAACTGTTAGAATAAAATAAGCTATACCATCCAATTATAGAACTTAGTAGAACCACAAGAACCAGCATCAAAAAAGAAACAAAAACAAAAGAACTGTACAGAAAAAAAGAAATAACTTTATCTCATTTTCATCAAGAACACATAGCTACAAAAGAGTTGAGAGATTTATTGAAATGCATAGGACAAATGAGTATGCCATGAAGCAGCAATTCTTTACTCTTCCTCTCAACTTTGCAGTACTTCCTAGTTGAAATATCTTAATAGAGACAGATTTGAATTGGAAAAGCATGGTACCTATCTATTAATCTATCTCCAAAAACCTCTCTCTCATACCATCATCAACAAAAGGAATCCTCTAGAGAAACAGGAACCAAACAAGTGAAAATTAACAACCCAAAACATCTTTCCAATTCAAAACAATCCAAAAAACAGAAAAACTTTTTTTTTTTTTTTAATACCTAGAAATCCCTAGAACTCGAGTTAGAAACTGGAGCCCCCTCGTCAAATCCTACAATCTTTAGAAGGCAGGAAACTATGACTTTTGTCGTGTAGGTGCGCATGAGGTGGTTCGTATCCCGGACCTTGTGGGAGCAATGAAGGTTTTCAGAGAACTGGAATAGGATTTTGAGGAATAATATTATTTATTCTCATAAAAATCGTACTATACAGCCAAATATTTATACACAGCCTAGGGGATAACCACATCCGGTTGTATCCCTTGATTCTAGCAGCCAAGGTAACAAAATCAGGAAACTATTTATCTAGTAAATCAGAAAAATCGGGAAACTAATCAAATCTCCTATAAATAAGGAAACTAACAGCTATACAATCTTTTCTATTTACACCGTATTTCCACACTCCCCCTCAAGCTGGAGAATGTAAGTCAATCATTCCCAGCTTGGATAGAAGAATGTGAAATTGTGTTCTTGTAATGGCTTTGGTGAATATGTCTGCCTGTCGTGTGGGCGTGTAGACAACTTCAACAATTCCATCCTCTATCTTTTCTTTAATAAAATGACGGTCTATTTCCACATGCTTGGTGCGATCATGAAGGACTGGATTTTTCGAAATGCTGATGGATGCCTGATTGTCACACAACAGTTCTATAGGAGTCTTAATTGGAAGTTGTAGTTCCTCTAGGAGTCTTCTTAGCCACATTTCTTCACAAATTCCGTGAGCTAGGGCCCGGAACTCAGCTTCAGCACTACTCCGTGCAACTACTGATTGCTTTTTACTCCTCCAGCTGACCAAATTTCCCCACACAACGGAACAATACCCGGATGTCAATCGTCTATCAGTCAAAGACCCTACCAAATCTGCGTCTGACAAAATCTCTATGCCCCTGTTGGTTCCTTTTTTGAAGGATAGACCTTTGCCGAGAGACGTCTTTAAGTACCTCAAAATCCTGTACACTGCTTCTTGATGTTCTTCTTTCGGACTATTCATGAACTGACTAACTGTGCTGACAGCAAAGCTAATGTCTGGTCTTGTGTGAGACAAGTAGATCAATTTTCCCACTAATCTTTAATGTCTTCCTTTATCTACTGGACCTGAGTCTCCTTTAGTTCCAATTCTGTTGAATGGATCTATGGGAGTTTCTGAGGTCTGTTAGTTTACCAATCCAGCCCAAAAACTTAAGCTGTTAGGAGGTGGGCTAACAATAGTTTTATAATTTAACACTCCCCCTCACGTGTGGGCTAAACAATGAGCAATCGTGTGGGTAAATTAATTGGAAAGCCCAACACGTTAATATTTAAGCCCGAGATATATTGAAGACCCAACACATGATGACAATTTAAATGGGGATAAAGAGTGTAATTACGGGAGTTGAACTCAGTACCTCCCGCTCTAATACCATGTTAGTTTACCAATCCATCCCAAAAGCTTAAGCTGTTAGGAGGCGGACTAACAATAGTTTTATACTTTAACAAGCAAACCAAGGCATGACCATTCCAACCAACACTGGGTAAAGAAACAGAAAAAATTTTGAAAGCTTTATCAGTAGAAGCCTACAAGCAAAAACTAGTTATTTAGCTCTTTCAAGTAGCCTCATCTTCAAATATCCTCCCATATTCCTATCCATAACTTCTCTACGTGGAATCCCTTAATAGAATGCAAAAAATAGAAATGCATCAAACATTCTCAGATTCAGTGATAATGACTCATTGTACCACTCCTTTGGTTAGTTTTCTTTTTTCTTTTTCTTTTTTTTTCATATTGCCAAGAAACTTCAGTCTGTTAGATACAAATCAAATCACCTAATCCACAATCCAAGTTGAAATATTGAAAGTGACATTTAAAGAAAAAATTTCCTGTTACACCAACAATGATCATGCCATCTTCACAACAAAACTAATAATAAATAAAAAGGAACCAATAAGACATATTGTTAGAATTAAGTGGTGGGGAAAAAAGTAACATGTAATGCTAGAGTTGAACAACATAAAATCATAATTTAACCAAAAGGAGCATAATAAATAAATAAATAAGCGATCCACTAACGTAGTAAAGAAAAAGAAAAATACCAACTTCTGCGCCTTTCTCGACAACACAAACTGATAAATCCACACCCTTTTCACAACACAACTGCTTCAGTTTTATGGCGGCTGATAAACCAGCAGGTCCAGCCCCAACAATAACAACATCATATTCGATGGATTCCCTCTCCGGCTGATCACCATTGAAACTCCTCGATTGAGCCGAAAAATTCCTCAAGCCGGAAAAGTTTCGCCCGTGCCCAGATGAGAAAACTCGTCCGAAACGAACTAAAGAGCTCGAATTACGACCCGAATGGAGAATTTGGGAGGACCCATTTGAAAGAGTTGGATTGTTGCAGAGATGGGTTTCTGGGGAATTCTGGGAATAGATGGATGTGAAGCTGGGATTTCTGAAAGAGTTAGATTTTGATAGAAATCTACGCATGATTGATTGGGAAATGAGAAACAAGCTAAGCTAGGAAATGAGTGAGAGTACAAATGAGTTTGTTCAGTTTAGGAAGATTAGAATTTAGAACGAACGAAGAGTCGGAAAAGCGGCAAAATGCGATATGCTCCTTTGACAACCAACTGACGTGGGAGTGGTGTCAATGTCTATCTATCATCCAATTAACAATAATATTTTCGGATTTTTGCTTATAAAAAAAAAACAATAATATTTTGGGATTTTTGCATTAACTAATTGAGTGCTACGTGTTTTTTTTTTCTCCCATAGTATAGATTAGATTATATATTATATTATATTAGAAAATTTAGGGCCCATTCGATTAATAGGTTCGAAACATATTACGAAGATTTAAATCAAAGTGATTCTAATCGTGATTTTAAAATTAAAATTATTATTTATAATTTTGAGTTCAAATCATGATTTTAAAATCATGATTCAAAATCAGGAGTTTGAATCACCTTAAATCAAGAGGAGGATAGTTTTAGAATCATGATTTGAGCTAGTTTAAAACATCACATCAAATTTTGAATCATGATTCAGAATCATCCAAACTAAACACTGATTCTGAATCATGATTCAAAATCATTGTAAACAAATATTGATTCTGAATCAGAATCTAAATTCATAATTCTGAATCCATCTACCAAACACACCCTAAATGTTTGTTGTTTGAAATGGAAATTTTGAAACATGTAGAACTATTTGATCGAAGCGTGGAAAGTGTGGTTTGCTTGTAGTTTGAAATAGTGTTTAAATATGCAGTTGATCATAAGTTTAAAAGGGGATAAAATTAAAATCGTTTGGTTGTGTAGTGAAAAGATGAGTTAGAAATTATTAAAGCAAAGGGGGTCTAAATTTTTTGAACCAAAATACTGTCCAAAATAGGTTCACAATATTGAAAACAAAGGGAGAAAAAAAATGACCCTTCCCCAACCAATTTTTAATCCCAAAGATTAGCTCCATAACTTCTACTTTTTTTACAATTAAAATTATGAAAATAGTTACATTAATCATTTTTAAATAAATAAATTGTATTATTTAAAGTCTGGAATTTTCTCAGTCATTACATCAACAGTCTTCCATCACTGACCGGCAGCACCGGTCATAGTCTATCATGTTATAATCTATAATTTGACAATCTCAAAGTTACGCTCAATGGTCTATTAGTAAATTACAAGATATCAACAGTCTTCCATCACTGACCGGCAGCACCGGTCATAGTCTATCATGTTATAATCTATAATTTGATAGATTACTTCAGCACCAGACATAGTCTATCAGCTTATGGTTCATAATCTGATAGATTACGCCGACCGCCGGTCATAATATGTCATATTATAATCTATAATCTAACAGGTTATGCTTCATAATCTGCCAAAATATCAAGCATAATCTGACGGATTATGTTTCATAATATGATAATCTATCAGATTATGAGGGTATTTTTTTAATTCTAAAATCTCTTACCTATTTATTTTTATTTTATTCTTTTGGCTAGATATTGCAACTCAATTATATACTTTCACGAACTTTGCAGCGTAGGATTAGCAAATGCAGTTCTAAAACCACTTATTGATCACAAAAGGATAGAAGCTACAACTAGAAATCATCTAATTCCCAATTATCATTACAGATCAGATCATAAGTCAAGCCATCCTTAATTTTTGCAATACCATGGTAAACAAATAAATAAAAACTAACAAATAGGTCCTACCAACACCAAAATGAGAATTTTTAAGGGTAAGGAAGAGTGGCAATGTGGTTATGAGCCACAGTTCCAATCCACAATTTCCCATTCACTTCTCTAACTTCACTCACCAGTTTCATAACCGTACCGTTTCGATCCTCAAGAACTTCAAGAATCTCTCCCTTGTCGTTGAAGAGCGAGATGACGGTGTACATTTTCATCCCCATAAGTCGTGCCAGGAAGCTCATCCGAACCGGCAAGCGGAAGTAGACACTCCTTATCCATGGATTGTGACTAAAGATCTCTTGTGCCGGAGTCCGGCAACAGTCTATAGCAACCCAGAATTGTCCTTTTTCATTTATTCTTACATTGTCTGGGAATCCTGGCAGGTTTGCAACTGCTTCCACAAGTCCTGTTTTTGGACCCTCTAGCCAATATTTCATTAACCTGCAATGATGCCACAAAGTCTTATAATGACTTGAAGACTAAAGACCCGTTTAGTTCGCTGATTCGAATTTTTAATTCGAGTTTAGATGTGACTTTATATGGGAGCTTTTTACTGTAGCAAAAAAGTTAACTTAAACTAGTTCTGTAAATTTGAAAGATACTTGTGGATTAGATTATTGATAATAGAGTTAACTTAGTCTAGCTGCAATAGAAGGTACAATGTCATACTTAAACACAAAAAGTATTGAAAAATGATATATTTAATTTTTGTTCTATTTAAAGCGCCAACACATAATGATAATCAATTGTTATCTTTATTTTTTATCATAAATTTTTAAGCTTTCTTACATTTATGTATTTATTAAGTGAAAAGTCCGATGCATCAAACTCATAGCGACTTAAAGACAAAGTTTGGCATTATTTGGTTTCAAATTTGACACTAAATATAGCATTTATCAAATTAAACACTAAATATAGCACTTCGAAAATGATTTTCTTAATCAGATGTCAAATTTTGGCATTAGTATCGAAATTTGGTATTATATTAGAGACGCGGAATGAAATTTAGTAGTTAAACTTAGTTTTTACTACAATATAATGACAAGTGGACAAATATTAGGTTAATTCTAATCCATGGGCTTTGACAAACTAATATCACTCGAACCTTCTGCAAAAATGACTTAATAAGAAAGTTTTATGTGTGAAATATTTTTGAAAAATTTTTATTTACAAAATATCTACAGAATAATTAAGACAACCACTTTTTATAAAAAAACGATATGGTGGCCGTTCTTCATAGATTATTTTGTTAGGCTATGTTCATTTTACCGATTTGAGTTTAAAATTTAAGTTTTATTACGGAAAAAAGCTCTCAGAAACAGTCACATTTAACCTTTTTATTAGAGTAAAAAACTCTTACATAAGGTCACATCTCAACTCGAATTAAAAACTCGAACCAGTGAACTAAGGGCTCATATAGTTCGTTGATTCGAGTTTTTAATTCGAGTTGAGATGTAACTTTATGTGAGAGCTTTTTACTGTAGTAAAAAAAGTTAAATGTAACTGTTTCTGAGAACTTTTTATTATAGCAAAACTCAAAATTCTAAACTCAAATCGGTAAAATGAACGAAACCGTGAAAGAGAGAGGATGATTACCTGCAGTTGGTGGTCTCGGTGAAAAGGAGGAAAGTCTGGTCTCTCGATATCTGTACCCCATTTGGAAAAGCCAAACCATCGAGTACAACATGGGTTGTCTTAGTTGGAGGATCATATCTAAGAAGCCTCCCTGTGGCTTCTCCTTCCAATAGTATAAAAAAATGATCCCTGCAAATTAGGTTTTCCATTATAAAGCATTACTTCTAAATTCTAAAGGCATGTTCACTTTGCTGATTTGAGTTTATAATTCGAGTTGAGATGTGATTTTATGTGAAAACTTTTTATTGTAACAAAAAAATTAGATGTGATTGTTTCTAAGAACTTTTTACTGTAGCAAAATTCAAATTTTAAACTCGAATCAGTGAAGTGAACATAGCCTAAGTTCCTAAGAGAAATTTTGCTACGATGACAACTCTAAAAAATAAAATTACCAAAATAATCTTTCATTTTTATACCGAGGACCTTAATAAAGCGATGTGAAAAGTAGAACACGTACAAGGGGTAGTCATTTTACAAATTAAAATTTAGGAGTTACTCCTGTAAGATCAGAAAAATAAAATTACTGATAGTTGTATTTTTTTCAGTCATTTTCAACCATCATATCTGTATCAAAAACTGTAATTTTGTTTGGAGTTATTTTTGTTTCTATTTTTCACGTTTTTTGAGAAAGAAAAAACGAAAATGGAAAGAAACGGCGTTTGGCACAATTAAAGACAAAAAACGGAAATGAAAACGATTTTTTTTGTTTAGTGTAAATTGAAAGAGAAATGAAAAATGACTTTTAGTCGTTTTTCATTTTTTGTTTCTGTTTTCTCCTCTCTCAAGTACAGAGAAAGAGAGAGAGACATTAATGAATTTTTTTATACTGAAAATAATCTCTTGATAAAACTATCAAATGCATTTTCAAAAATGATTTCTGTTTGAGATTGAAAACATTTTTATTTTCATTTTCATTTTCATATAAAAAATAAAATTATTTTAGAACGAGTTCCAAACACACCCTGTATGTTATGCATATTTTTTTAATCTCATTTAATTTTAAACAGATTTAACGGTCAAAAAATTGATCTTACCGATTAGACGGCTTACTAGAGAGTCCTTACAAATTTTTAAAAAGTCATTTCACAAATAAGTGTGAAATAAAAAAATATATATCATGTACTTACACTCTGTTGTATCTCTGGCTAGTGTCAGTGAAGAAAATGGACCCATTGGAGTGAATGTCAAGGTCATTTGCAAAGAGTATGGGCTTCCCATCCACATGGGCTGCCAAGGGATTGGCAATTCCTCCTTCAGGCCCAACGACCAGAAGCCCATAATATGCATCAGCAATGTACAAATCTCCACTCTCTTTGTCAAACCTTAGGCCCAGAGGACGACCACATTTCATCTCAACTTTCCATTGCTTGGTTGTAGTTGAGTCAGTGCCTTTAGCACAAAGCTTCTCTGACCTTTTATACCACATTCAGTATAATTAGCATATATAAATTAAGAATATTAATGAAATAAGCTTAGAAAGCATCTTCTTCTTCTTCTTCTTAATATTACCTTCAATTTTCTGTTAAACTTTCATTATTTTATCCACATAATTTGTTTAACTACCTAATTAATGACTAGTTGGGCATTCCCATGTTATTAATGGAAAGAGAAAAAATCCTAGCGCAGAGTCATCATTTTTTTTTCCTTCAATACATTATATATGAATCAACTTAGGTAAAATCTTTAAGAGGATGTTTGTTTCCTATATTCATTCTTGATTATGAATCATAATTTATGATTCTCTACAGTGTTTTTCTCTCATAAAAAACACACGTAAAACGATAATGGTTCTGAATCATGATTCTAAATCTATGAACCAAACGTTCACTAAATTGAGATATCATATAAATTCACATTGTGAACATAGAAAATCTAAAATATTCTTAAGCCTTTAAAATAATTTAAGGGCATTTGAAAACCTCACATCATTGTGTAACACATGAAGAATTATACTAGGAAAAGGGCTAAAACTGCCATGTTGGTCCTGAAAAATAGTACAATCCTAGTGCAAATTAAGTCATAATTTTCTTTCCTCGCAAATATTTTGAATTAATTGAGTTGCAGACCTTGAGATGAACCCATAAAATGACTCTTAGAGTTGTTTGGTATCATAAAAAGTGGAAGGCCAGAGAAAGGTGAGGGGATTAGTGGAGGGATTTTAGGACCCATGGTTGTTTGAGAGAACAGAAAAGAGGAAGTATGGGAGGATTCCTTTAAAAATAAAAATAAAAGTAAAATTAAAAAAAAAGCCTAACTTTAATCTCTCTCCATATGAAAGATATAGAAGCGTCATAGAAGGAAATTCATACCGAACACAATAAAAGAACACTCCTTCCTTTCCTCTCCATTTTTCACACTTAGGTTATATCTGTGCTTGGAATTGATCCCGTTTTTATTTTCACGTTTTTCAAGAAAAATAATTTATGTCTGAAATTGAAAACGTTTTCATTTTCATTTTAGAACGAGTTCCAAACGCACCCATAATTTTTCTTCCTAACTATTTTTTCTCCCTTGTACTAAAAACAACCTTTTAGGCATTGATGAAACCATATCCAAATTTAAAAGAAAAAAATTAAAAAAAATAAAAAATAAAAAACACACCAATTTTTTGTGACAAGAGCAAATGTCTCCCATCCCACATCTTTTCCCATCCACCGGACAATGCGGCCGTCGGCCAACCCGGTGTAGGGTCCGCAGCCGCGATTATCAAACTCCAAAGATTCAGGGCCAAAAACTTCTCCTACAAACTCCAACTTCCCAAGACGTCCGAGCCTGCTTTGGTTGTCTCTTGGCCAACTCTCCATGACTTGCTTGTACGGTGCAATGCTGTGCTTCACCGGCCTATACTCGCGGCCTCCGAGAGGACCCATCTTTAAAGGATCCATTATAACCAAGGCCGAAACCAGAACTAGGACAAACAGAATTGGATGCTGCAAAAAGGCTTCATCTTTGAGTGGGATTTTCTTCTCCATTGCGAGGGTAATTGGAGATCAGAGAAAGAGGCCAAGGTGAAAATGAAGTTTAATCATAAAAGTTGTATGTCGTTTAATTGAGGTGTTAATAATGGCAAGAGAAGAGCTTAGTTTTTTGGGTAGGGTTTGATATGTTAGAAAGTTGATATAATATTATTGCATGCATTATACGTGACGTGCAATATTAATGTGGTTGAAAGTAGGTTGTCTTGTTGTTGGACGTGATTTTTTGCATTCTTTCTTTCTTATTGTTGGAGAGCAGAGGCAAAGTAGCATTTCTTCTTCAAGAGAGTAGCTAGGTTTCTAGCCTACATTAGCAATATGTGAAAACTAGATAGATAGGTACGTATATTATATGGTGCTACAACTAATAGGCATTTAGGGTTCCTGCAAAAACTCAAATGTCTTTTAGTAAACACTTGGCAATATTGCTGACTGTCACAGTTTTCTCAGCAGATCAAGAGTAATTAATAGGGCATGTTTAGTTCGCTGATTCGAGTTTTTAATTTGAGTTGAGATGTGACTTTATGTGAGAGCTTTTTACTGTAGTAAAAAAGTTAGATGTGATTGTTTGTGAGAGTTTTTTACTGTAGAAAAACTCGAATTCTAAACTCGAATCAGCGAAATGAACGGGGCCCAGTTTACTCAACTTTCCCTCTTTTCCTTAAAAAAAAAAAAAAAAAAAAAAAAAAATTCTTTCTCACTTTTCTTCTCAACTCTAATATGGTATCAGTTCAAACGAACTGGATCAATCTATTAATATATAAGATTAGTAACTCATAATAGAATACCATCTTACAGGGTATGGGTAAAAATACGAGACTAGCTATAACTATATATTAAGGTGAAAAGACAGGATGCATTATGATGAAATGCTATTGATTTCAGGAGGACTATGCTCTAGAATAAGTTTCCCTAAAATCACTTGTCTCTCATTTCTTACCAACTTCCGGTGTGTAATCGACATGTTGCAAGCTTCAACTTGGTTGAATAAGAATCATGGCTCGAGCCTAAGTGAAAGTGAAGTGGTGGGCTTACCCATCACAACTAGGAGTATGCTGGGATTTACGAAGTACAACCATTTAAGGATATTAGACCACCTTACTTAAATATGCCAACCTTTTAAGATAGAAACTCAATATCTTATAAAATGCAATTCTTCTTAACTTAAAATATTGACTATCTTTCCGCAACAAATTAACAAAGGGATTGGCTACCAATCACTCTTATTTAGTGAAGGACATGAAAGTTTAATCACTTAATATCCCTCAACTTTGTTAAATACAAGTCAGGCTGCCGAAGATGTGTACTCAAAGGTCTTTTTACGATAAATATGTGGAATTAAACATCAAAAGAGGTTGGATACAAGTTGGGAATTCTTAGATATGTTTCTTAACCATTTAATGAACTGAAAAGCCTCTTAAATAGTCAATACCTTCGAAACAGAGCCATTTTGTCTCTTCTAATGTCTAGTTTTAACTATCCGTTTTGTAGATTACCCGAACGCCTCTATACTAGCCATGAAACAATAGCCCATTGAATTGACTGAAGTATCCCACTGGATTACCAGACGTTGTTAGCACAATTTTTGTCCAATTTTTGACACTTTCAAAATCTATTTTCAATATATTGTTTTAATAAAATGTAAGATCACATTTTGTGTCAAAAGTACTCGTCAGAACTTTAGAAAACCTTTTGTAAACCTTTGTTTTTTTTTTTTTTTTGCTTTTTTGCAAAATATTAATACAAGATTATTATATGATTTTAACCTATATAGACATTTTTTTTTTGTAGATTTCCATTTTCAAGCTCCAAATATAATATCTTGAAATTCTATTCATGATTCAAGAGCTTTCATGAGATTTTCTCCATCAATCTTCATAGTTTAGAAATCTAACGAGGGAGAGACTCGTATAAGTAGGAGTGTTAAAAGAAACGACCCAATACAAATCAAATGAAGCCGCTTTCCGTAGTTTCGTTCCCTTTTTAATGTGAGGGGATGGTGATGAAACGTTTCGTCACCCTCCCCCTTATTTTATTTTATTATCATTGTAGTCTCTTTTATACCTTTATTTCCCTAACTTTTTTTTTGCCTCTCTTTCTTTCATTTGTTTTTTTTTTTGTCCTCCTTCCTTATTTACTTGTTTTTTAGTCTTTTTTTTTTTTACCTCTTACTCTTATTTTATCTTATCATTTTAGTCCCTCGTTTTTGTTTTTATTTTTATTTTTCTTGTTCCTCTTCCTTTTATTCGTTTTTAGGCCCCTTCCTTTTTTTTATTTGTCTCTTTAGTACCTTATTTTTGTGTAATTCTTATTATTTTAAAAGATATTCAACAACTAAATAAGATCTCTATTATTTAAAAATAATAATAATAACACAATAATTAAATTTTAATACAAGGATGAAATCTAGAGAATTATCCCCTCAACTAGTTAATTAAAAAAACAAGTAATTTGGATTAGGTGGTAAAATTAAAGATAAGCTAACTGTTAGTTGGTGGCGATGTAAAAATAAAGATAATATTATATATAAACAACTCATCTTGGGAAAGATGTGAGGCTTGTTCGGTTGTATTTTTGAGTTATTGTGACTTTAGTATAGATCTTAAGTTGAATTTAAGTTATAATTTGAGTTGCAGTTGTAACTTGAGTTTGTGTTTGGATGTGCACATTTGAGTGAAGTTTTAATAGGGTATATGGGTGAAGTTTTATTTGTCTCTTCACTGTGAATGCATAGAAAAAATCATTTCAATCGGAATTAAAACGAAAAAATTATGACATTTTTAAGAATAAAAAAAATAATGTTCATTAAATTGAGTTGAAGGGGAAACTTAAACTTAGGGGTTATTCTTTTGCATTTTTGAGTTAGGGTGACTTGAGTGATGATCTTGAGTTGAGTTTGAGTTATAACTTGAGTTGAAGTTGTAACTTGAGTTTGTGTTTGGATGTGCACATTTGAGTTATGATTTGAATTGAGAATCTTTTTGAGTTTGTGTTTGGGTGGGTTAAAACTTAAATTTGTATTTAGATAGTATTTTAATAAAAACTCAATGGTGATGAAAAATTTTAATAGGGTATATAGGTGATGTTTTATTCGTTTTTTCATTGTGAATACATAGAAAAAAAAATCATCTCAATCAGAATTAAAACGAAAAAGTTATTTCATTTTTAATAATAGAAAAAATATTATTCATTAACTTAAGCTTAAGTTTATGAATTTGAGTTGAAGGAAAAACTTAGACTCAAGTTTAACCTCAAACTCGAGTTCAAACTCAAATTTTATAAAGAAACATAAACTTAAGGCCTCGTTCACTTCGCTGATTCGAGTTTAGAATTCGAGTTGAGATGTGATTTTATGTGAGAGCTTTTTACTGTAGCAAAAAAGTTAGATGTGATTGTTTGTGAGAGCTTTTTAATGTAGAAAAACTCGAATTCTAAACTCGAATCAGCGAAGTGAACGGGGCCTAAATAAAGTTATAACTCGAGTTCAAACTTATTCTTAGTTTTATTGTAAAAAAACAAATTCTAATTTTAGTCATAAACTCAAGTTAAAACTCGAGTTAAAATTTAAATTCAAACTCAAATTTTACAAATAAATATAACTTCCTCGTTCACTTCGCTGATTCGAGTTTAGAATTCGAGTTAAGATGTGATTTTATGTGAGAGCTTTTTACTGTAGCAAAAAAGTTAGACGTGATTGTTTGTAAGAGCTTTTTACTGTAGAAAAACTCGAATTCTAAACTCAAATCAGCGAAATGAACGGTGTCTAAATAAAATTGTAATATGAGTTCAAAATTTTTTTTAACACGCCCGTGTTTTTCCAAGACCATTTTATCCATTTCTATAGCCGTTGGTTAAACCTCACCCCCAAAACCCTCTGAAAAATTAAAACACAACAATAACAATGCTCTGTACCTCCAAAAATGAAAATGGCGGTTTCACTTTCAGCTGCTAAAGCCTCTCAAATTCCTCCCAACTCCTCAGACCTTCCCGACTCTCAATCCCCAAAAACCCACAAGCCCAAAAACCTTAACTTGTCTTCCAATCTCCAAACTCGCCAGCTCTCCTTCACAAAAACTCAAGAAACATCATCATCACTCCTCGCCACTTGTTCATCCATCAACACCCAGAAGAACCCGAATGATGATTTGCAAAAGCTTTGCCTTCACGGGAATCTAGAAAAGGCTTTGAAGCTCTTGGAATCTATAGAGGAACTTGATATTTCCGTGGAAGAAGACTCGTATATTGCTCTGTTGAGGCTCTGTGAGTGGAAGAGAGCGCGCGAAGAAGGGGCTCGCGTGCATTCTTACGTTTCCAAGTCCATAACCCATTTGAGCGTTCGGCTCGGAAACGCACTTTTGAGTATGTTTGTGAGGTTTGGAAACTTGGTTGATGCTTGGTATGTGTTTGGGAGAATGGAGGAAAGGAATGTGTTTTCTTGGAATGTGTTGCTTGGCGGGTATGCAAAAGCCGGCTTCTTTGACGAGGCTTTAAATTTGTACCATAGAATGTTGTGGGTTGGAATTAGGCCTGATGTTTATACTTTTCCTTGTGTTTTGAGGACTTGTGGGGGTGTACCTGACCTGGCAAGGGGTAGGGAGATTCACGTTCATGTTGTAAGATTTGGGTTCGAGTCGGATGTCGATGTTCTCAATGCTTTGATCACAATGTACACGAAATGTGGTGATATTGGTAATGCCCGGTTGGTGTTTGATAGAATGCCAAGGAGAGATAGGATCTCGTGGAATGCTATGATAGCCGGCTATTTTGAGAATGAAGAATGTTTAGAAGGATTTAGGTTGTTCTTAATGATGCAGAGGTTTTCAATAGTTCCGGATTTGATGACCATGACGAGTTTGATATCTGCTTGTGAGCTACTCGGTGACGATAGATTAGGCAAAGCAATCCATGGTTATGTGATCAAAACAGATTTCGGTGACGATGTTTCGGTGGATAACAGTCTGGTTCAGATGTACTCAAGTATTGGGTATTTGGAGGAAGCGGAAAAGGTTTTCTCGAGAATGGAGAGTAAAGACGTTATGTCATGGACAGCGATGGTTTCGGGTTATGATCACAATGAGCTTCCTGATAAGGCTGTTGAAACTTACAAAACGATGGAGCTCCAGGGTGTTATACCGGATGAAATTACTATAGCTAGTGTTCTAACCGCTTGTGCTTGTTTAGGCCATTTAGACATGGGTCTCAAACTTCACGAGCTTGCTATCAGGACTAGGCTTATCTCATATGTTATTGTCGCAAATACTCTCATTGATATGTATTCCAAGTGTAAATGCGTTGATAAGGCTTTGGAAGTGTTCCATCGTATCCCAGAAAAGAATATCATATCATGGACGTCGATTATTCTTGGACTTAGGATTAACAATCGGTGCTTTGACGCTTTGATTTATTTTCGGAAAATGAAACAGTTGGTAAAACCAAATTCAGTTACTTTGGTTTCTGTCCTATCTGCATGTGCTAGAATAGGAGCTTTGATGGCTGGAAAGGAGATTCATGCTCATGTTTTAAGGACTGGTGTAGCTTTTGAGGGCTTTTTACCCAACGCCCTCTTGGATATGTATGTACGGTGTGGAAGGATGGGTCCTGCTTGGAATCAGTTCAACTCAAACGAAAAAGACGTTGCAGCGTGGAATATTCTGCTAACAGGACATGCCCAGCGAAGGCAAGGAAGGCTTGCTGTGGAGTTATTTCACAGAATGGTAGATTCCCAGGTGACTCCAGATGAAATAACCTTCATTTTGCTACTATGTGCTTGTAGTAGATCTGGTATGGTCACTGAAGGTTTAGAGTATTTTAGTAGCATGATGCCTTATTACTATATCACTCCTAATCTGAAGCACTACGCGTGTGTTGTCGATCTACTTGGCCGTGCTGGACGCTTGGATGATGCCCATGAGTTCATACGCAAAATGCCTATAAATCCAGATGCAGCCATATGGGGCGCTTTGTTGAATGCTTGTAGGCTTCACAGGCGGGTTGACCTTGGGGAACTCGCGGCGCAACATATTTTTGAAATGGATGAGGAGAGTGTGGGATACTACATTCTCTTGTCTAAACTATATTCTGACAGTGACAGATGGGATGAAGTTGCGACAGTAAGGCGGAAGATGAGAGAGAGAGGTGTAATTGTAGATCCCGGATGCAGTTGGGTAGAAGTAAAAGGAAAAGTTCATGCGTTCCTAAGTGGTGACAGTTTCCATCCTCAGGTAAAGGAAATATGTGCAGTGTTGGAGGGATTTTATGCGAGAATGAAAGGAGCGGGTTTTGGAGGAGCAGAAAGAGGTCCAACTGACAACGTCGAAGCTTCAAAAGCCGATATTTTTTGTGGGCATAGTGAGAGGCTGGCGATTGCTTTTGGCCTTATAAATACCGCCCCAGGGACACCTATTTGGGTAACGAAGAATCTATACATGTGCCAAAGCTGTCATGACACGGTGAAATTTATCTCTACGGTTGTGCGGAGGGAGATTTCGGTGAGAGATGTTGAAGAGTTCCACCATTTTAAAGATGGCATCTGCTCTTGCGGAGATGAGGGTTATTGCAACAAAACCTGATCATTAGAGTTTTCTAAATGGATTTTTGCGATTTGTATAACTTTAAAATAGGGCCCTGCCTGACCAGTTGAATGTTGTACACTTGACGGTGAGGATGCGGGTTATACGATCATTGATTAGCTCTTGAATTCCCATGTAATTTAGGGTGCTAAAGAAGAACAGAAAGATGATTTGCATAGAAAATCTTGGAAATACAGATTTAACAATTGATACCAACTCGTCACCTTCTGATTGTACAAGCAATCTAAATAAATCTCAAAACAATTGTATCCAAGCGCTGTTTGTCGCCATGGAGTGGGTCGTCGTTGTTGTCGCGGGATGGGTTGACATTGTCATCCTATTGGATTGGGGCTGTCTATGAAAAAGAACATTTTGGATGCAATTTTTCGAGATTATTAATAGGGCTGCTTTGAAGATCCAGACTTAGGGGTGCGCACACACAAAAAAAAAAAAAAAAAACCGCCAAACTGACCTGCTCATACCACCCCTCATCACCATATATGTGTCACGTCATCAAACCGTCAAACTGCAGTTTTAAACCGCACGTCCTGCCGTGAAATAACGGGCGATTCCGGTTTGAGTTTTTCCAAACCGCGAGTTATCAAAACCGCACCATCCCACCAAACCACGGTTTAAAACCGCCCCATAATTACTATTAAACGTCAATTATGAAATATTAATCATGGTGATGATTGTTTTAATGTTGATGATCTTTTTTATAGCTTTAAAATATAGTAAATTGATAATAGTTGTCTTTAAAACGTAGTAAAAAACTTACAAAATAGATTTGTTCTACATTTGTTATTTTTATTCTTTTATTTTTAACATTTTTCAACAAATATCTAATAACGTTCAAATTGCCCAAACCACCCGCCTCAAACCGCCCCACCCACCATTTAAAATAGGCGGTCTTGTTTTGGGTTTTTTTCAAACTGCCTTATTGCAAAACCACACTGCTCAAAAACCACCAAATTGCCCGCCTGTGCACCCTAGATATGGTGGTGATGAGCCGCTATCATTTATTTAATATTGAGCATTTTCAAATAGGTGTTTATAATTTGAATCTCCTAATAATTAATTTTTGTTACAAAGATTTTACAAATTAAACACTTAAGACTCTGATCTTATCCGACAAGATAAGATTTACATTGTATAACTTTAGATTTATTTTACAAAGGACAAAATGACTTTTGATAAAGTGGATCACACACTATTTCACTTTTGACTAATTTGAACAAAGGACAAAATCACTTTTGACAAAGTGACAGACATACTATTAAACTTTTGACTAAGCACACAAAACAAATAAACTTATTACAAGATAAGATCTCAGGATAAGATCTTGTGACTTCTGCAAAAGGTGACAGCCGGAGCCTTCCTTTTCAGCTAAGGGGACCCGTTATAGTGAGAGCTATAATCTGATGAGTCAGAGTTCATTGAACTATGCTCATAAAGATATTACTGTCGTTATCGTTTGCTAGAATTATAATAGACGAAAGTGGATTGAGTGAGTATTTTAAAATAGATATTTACATATTAGAAAGTATTTTGAATGATATTGAAAAATCCAAATGAGGGGTGACACTTTCAAAAAAGGTCATACTTTGAGTGGATATATATATGAAAGTAATATTTTGTAATTAATTGTAATAATTAGTTAGATCACTATATTAAAAAAAAGTATAAAAGAAAGAAAATGGTAGTTGGAGGTGAAGACACGTGCATATGTGTGCTTTCATTTGTTAAAGTTTTCTATTTCTCATTTCTGATACTTAAAACTTTGTCTGACAGGACACAAATAAATGTATTATCAATAATTTTTTATTTTTAACCTTAAATTTATATCAAAAATTATATATTATGTGTATTTTTTTAGTCTGATATGATTTTAAATAAATTCAACAGTTAAAAATTAATACTCTGTTAGAGAGACTGTACTAGAAAAAGTCTCGAAAATAAACGTATATCACGTTTTTAAAATGGTTTTTTAAGCTATGCTTAGTTTTTAGTTTGATGAAATGTAATAAGTTGTTGGAATATAATGGAATGATAATATGAATATATTGTTAGTTTTATTGTTTGTTTGAATATAAAAATTAATATTTGAATCACAATAATTATATTGAATAGTATTTTGACAAAGAGAAATGCTAACGTCACTTTTTTATCACTCTTTTTTTCATTTTTTATATTTACTATTTAACACGTGAATTTTATTATCTCATTTTTTATTTAAATAATAAATAGAAAACTGTTTTTAAGTCGTGCCCAAACAGGCCCTAATTTTCTGTCATATGTCCGTCTAGATCCAATTCTTTGGTTCGTTTGTTAGTTGATTCTTCTCAGTTCCTTCCACAACTCTGATAGTAATTTATAAATATTTCAAATGTAGGGACAAAATAAAGTGAATCTAAGGGACAAAATAAAGTAAAACTAAGGAGTTGTACATATACTCAAAACTCAAACTATGATGTTATTATCATATTTTTCTCTCATAAAAAATTTGAATCAAACATTTCTCATCAATAATTCTCTCACAAAGAATTTAACTCAAAACCCAAATCATAATTTAAAGGAAAATAGTAGAAAATATGTCAATATGAAAAGCTTAAGAAAATATATAGGCCAATTTTTAATTATAGAGATTAATAAGTCATAACTTGTCAAGTTATGGTTCATAATCAGATAAGTTATGGACAAACTTATCAAGTTATAGTTCATAACCAGATAAGTTATGGACAGTTATGGACAATAACTTGTCAAGTTATGGTTCATAACCAAACAAGTTATGGACGAAAATAGTAATTTAGCCTATTTATTAACTTATGTAAACTATTGGCCTATTAATTTTAATTCATCTCAAATCTTGATCTATTTTTCTCTTTTTTCCTTATCTAAACGGGCCCTATATTAACAATAAGACTTGAACTATTTCTCAGGGAAACGGAACAAAAATAA